ATGCAACTGACTCCTCCATCAAAATAGGACATTTTAGGCCAGGGATTTAATTTAGCTCAGTGGTTTTGCCATCTGCTGCACAAGTGCAAGGACCCGAGTTCGATCCCTGGTATCAAAAAAAAAAAAAAGTAGGACATTTTATTCCTGCAGGAAGCTCCTACGTGCTCTTTTCAGGCCAATCAGCACTCTGTTCTCACTCCAGCCCTGAAACTCCACCACTGGTTTGATTGTTATCTCCATAGATTAGCTTTGCTTGTTCTAAAAACATCCTATAAGTAGAATGAGAAAATGTGGACCCTTTTGTGTCTGACTGCTTTCTCTGAGCATTGTGTTTGTTGCAGTTCATCCATGTTGCTGTATGGATCTGGGGTTTGTTCCTCCATTCCTTTTTAGTGCTCGTTAATATTCTGCTGTATAAAATTCTAGTCTTTCTGATGCTTATCATATTCTTGGTTAATATAATAGCAGTAATATCTCATCAATCTTGATACACTACCTATTTCTAGTCATTCACTTTTGTCATTCTTTCCTCCGTGCTGTTTATTTCCTTTGCCTGCTGCCACGGTGAGCCTCCTGGGGCTGGGTGGAACCCCTGTCTTCCCTGAGCGGATAATGGTACATTATGCCCTAAAATTTAATCAATACAAATATTTACAGGGCTAACAAAGAACAAATTTATTGAGCTTTTTCCTGGAAGAAAAGAGTCATTTAGAATGCTGAACCACATCCCTCTATCGATTCATCTTGTTAGATATTAATTTTAATCTCCTAATAGTATCCCTCAGCTGTCCAGTGTGCTATAAAGTTCAATACAGTGTTTGAATACCATCCAAAAAATTTTCAATACTTGAATTCCAAAAGAACCCTGTGGAATGTTTTACTCAGGAAAGATTTTTAGGGCTGGGGTTGTAGCTCAATGGTAGTGTTTGCTTAGCACATATGAGGGCCTGGGTTTAAGCAACTGTGTCCCCCTTCCCCCCAAAAAGGCTAAGTTAGGCCATGTTGAAATTTTAACATCAAATCAGCAATTGGACAATAAATAGTAGAAGAAAAGAGGTAAGTTACCTGTGTTAGGTTCCTACAGCTGGTGTAACCAAGTCCCACACACTGGGTGGCTTAAATAATAGAAATTTATTACATCACAGTTTGCAAGGCTAAAACTTCAACATCAAGGTGTCAGCGCAGCCCATGCTCTCTCTGAGACTTTCCATGCTTTGCTGGCAGTCTTAGGTGTTCCTTGCTTGCTGCTGTGTAACTCGTCTCTGCCTTTGTCATCTTACAGTATTTGTTGTGTGTATCTCTGTCTTCACATAGCCTTGGATTAGGGCTGTCTTCACACGTTGGCTTAGGGGCCCACTCTCCTCCAGGATGACCTCATCATAACTACCAACGCTTGCAATGACTCTGTTTCCAAATAAGGTCATATTCCAAAGTACTGAGGGTTGGGACTTCAATGTGTCTTTTCTGAGGAATATATTTAACTGATGATGGTGTCCAAGGAAGTTGATGTCACAGATCTCTATTTTCCTCTCTCAAGGATGGAGATGGTGATGCCTGAGACCTGGATACTGACCACATCTAGAACACGAAAGCCTGGCATTTCAGCAGAGACGCCCCTGCTCTGTGACACTTGAGGCCTTGAATGGGCTGATGTGGTCACTGTGGGTCTCAGAGGTCCAGGCCAAGGTGGTCTAGCACAGAGAACTCAAGTCTGGTTTGCCAGAGAATGCTAGGGCATAAAAATCCTGCATTCCTTCAGATGTGCATACTATGTCCTTTGGCCAAATTAAATTGCCAGAAACCTTTAGCTCTAGTTTACACTGCATTGCCACTTTGTACAAATGCTCTATCTAGTTTCTGCTTTGGCATCACCCCGTAGGCTTGCATTGAAGAGTATTATCAGAAACACGTAAAAGAATCTCACTATTATGTGGCTGAAGTCATATTTAAATAATGGTGATGATAGTGGTGGTGTTGATAGCAATCCAGTTTGAGTTTTTGTTTTAGTATTTACTTTTTTCCAGATTCTGTGCCAATACTTTTCTGTATTATCCTGTTTCATTATTACAACAATCCTGTGAGTCGTTATAATTATTCCCAATATCCAGGTTGGAAAAATGAAACTTCCCATAGTCCATGCAACTAGAAAAGTTTGAAGACTGGATACAAACCCAGGTCTGTCTCACTACAGTGCTATGCTTCTGTCCCCCAAAGAGGTGATAGGGACTTCAACTCACCCTGGGCAGGCTGTTGTGTGTGTGGTACTGGAAATTGAACCCAGAGCCTTTGGTGAGCTACACCCTGAGTCCATTTTTTATTTTGAGACAGGGTCTCACTAAGTTGCCCATGCAGGGCTTGAACTTGGAATCTTTCTGCCTTAGCCTCTCAGATGGCTGGGACTATAGGTGTGTGCGACCATGCTTACCTCCAGGCAGGTTCTTGACATATCACCACAGAAAAGCATTTCAGGACACATCCATGAGAGTCATAGGAAGATTTATTAGGCAGAATCAAGGAAGTATGCACTCAGAGAGAAAGAGTATAGGTACTTGATGGGTGAGGCCCACTATGGTCTGGGGTTAGGTGTATTTATATGGTCTTGGGTATCTTTGAAATGGATGATCTAGGATGTTCATTGTTTTTTAGGTAGTTATTATTTACCTAGTGTCTGTTCTCCCCCCCCCCCATACCAGGGATCGAACTCAGGACCTTGCGCTTTTGAGGCAGGCATGGAGCCACGGAGCTAAATACTTGGCCCTTATTGTCTGTTCTTTTAAGGTCAGCTTGCCCATTAGTGGACTACAGCAAAAACTGACTATCAACTAGGTTAAATACATAGTTTGTATATGTTTGGAGTTCAGACATGTGGTACCCAATTAATAGTACTATTTCTTTGAGAGTGGAAGTCTTTGGAATTTATAGATTTATAGTATCAGGAGAAAAACACAGGTCAAGTTTATAGACTTATAGTATCTTTAAGATTCTTAGCAATTTAGGAGTGAGGTGCTGAGAGAAAGACAGGCCTAAGGGTAGAAAGGCCTTGTAACTTCCGATAACTTTGATTGTGTTTTAAAATTGTGTTTTTCTGCATCTTCCTCAAAATTAGAATTTCATCATGTCTTTTTTACCTGTCTTTATTCATACTTTTTTATTTTTATTTTTTGGTACTGGGGATTGAACTCAGGACCTTGTGCTTTCGAGGCAGGCGGCACCACTGAGCTAAATCCCCAGCTTTTTACCCGTCTTTATTTCTTCTGTCCCTGCTCCCTGCTGAGTTTCTCAGGGGCAGCTGCTGACCACTCCCTTCATCCCTGGGTTTCCAGGACTGATCCTTTCTGCTCATCCTTGATGGGTCCTCAGTCTCTGCTGGACTGTAGAGTCACAAGGCCTTGTCCCAGGACCTCTGACCTCCTCATTCTTCACTTTCTCCCCAGGTCATCTTATCAAATGCCATCCAAATGCTGATGTATCCTAAACGTATAGCATTTAGGACCAGTGGTGGGGAACCTATGGCATGTGCATAATTGTGCTTTTCTTTTAAGACAAAAGATGCTAATGTAGAGTGTTTTTTCTAAACTAAAACCTCAGTATTCAGATTTAATTGCAGTGTTGGCACTCTGGGGTAAGTAACTGGGTTTTGAGTTGCAGTTTGACACTCAGTCTCTAAAAGGTTCGCCGTCACTGCTTTAGACTTTTCTTCTGTACTTAGCTGGTATGACCAACTGTCCTTTTAACAGTTGTTTAGTGGACATCCCAGACTTAACAACTTTGAAAATAGGACTTCTAATCCTCCCTTCCCCCTGCCACCCCCAATCTGGAAGTCCTCCTCCAGTTCTCCTCGTCTGGATGAATGATACCACTCTACCCAGCTACTCAGAGAAAACGATTTAGAGTTAAACTTGATCCTCTTCTTTCCTCATCTCTCACGCCAGTCCATCAGCAAGTTATGTTGCCTTGACTTCAAAACATGTGCTGAATCTGCCTGTTTATTCTGTGTTTCATCCTAGTCTAGTGTCACTTCCCACTCCATCTTGGCTCAGACTCCCAACTGGTCTCTGCATCTCCCTACAGCAGCTGGAGCGATCTTTTTAATATGTAAATGAGATTACAGGGCCCCTTCTCCTTGGTTCAAACCTGTCAGTGTCCTCCTCTTGCACTTAGAATAAAATACAGATGCCTTACTCAGCTTGGAAGGGCTACCTCGCCCATGCCCCAGCCCATTTCTTTCATTTTCTTTCCTTCTTTTATCTTTAATTTTTATTGTGGAAAGGTTTAAATGCATGCAAAAATAAACAGAATATTACATGGACCCCTTTGTGTACATACCTATCAATGATTATTAACTCAGTCAATTTTATTTCTTCTTTGTCTCCCCCCCCTCCTCCTCTTCCTCTTCCTCTTCTTCCTCCTCCTTCTTCTTCAGCAGTTTTGGTAGTTGAGCCTTGGGCCTTTACACTGAGCACATCCTGAGCCTTTTATTTTATTTTATTTTTTATTTTGAGACAGGGTTTTGTTAAGTCACTAAGTAGCCCAGGCTGGCTTGAATTTGTGATCTTCTTGCTTCAGTCACCTAGATTGTTGGGATTATAGGCATGTGCCATCATGCCTGGTTTATTTCCTATTTATCTTAATTTCTCACACCCTTGATTTGAAGCAGATTCCAGCTATCTTATCTTTTCATCTGTAAACACACTTTCCCTCCAAGCTGCTTCATATTATTCATCTCTCAGCCTAAATGTCACTCCTTAAAGCACCCTTATCCAAGACATGGCCTTGTAATGCTTCTCACCATGTAGGATATTTATTTGTTGGCTTGTTTACTGCCAACCTCCTCTCAGAGCATCAGCTCCATAGGGTGAGAGACTAGTCCCTCGGTCATTTTTGTGGCACCAGATGTAGTGTCTAGGCCACGGTAGGTGCTTAGCCAGTGTTTGCTGAATGTGATGCCTCCATGTTGGTGAGATGCTGCCTCTCAACCACATCATACTCTGTGTACTTAGGCAACCAAAGGAGGTACCGTCAAAGCTGCTTCAGGATTCAATGCTACCGAGGATGCCCAGACTCTGAGGAAGGCCATGAAAGGACTTGGTAAGTCCCACTGGAGGTGAATCCTCCTTTGTGTATTGTACACCACAGGAAGGAGGAATGTGTACTGGCAATTGGGATTAAATCTCCTTTAAGAAAACACAATGGGAACAAGTTGGCCTTTCAAGACAAATTGCATGGGAAGGTGTATTAGTCAGCTTTCTATTGCTGTAGCAAAAACACTTGAGATAATCAGTTTTAAAAAGAGAAAAGCCTCATAGTTTGGGTTGTTTCACTCCATGGTCAGTTGGCCCATTGCTTGTGGGCCTGTAGCAAGTTAACACATCACAGTGGAGTTTGGAGTGGAAGAAGGTGGTTCACATTGTGGCCAGGAATGAAAAAGAGAAGAAGAGGAGGGGCTGTGGTCCCAAGAGCCCCTTCAAGAGCAGACTTCCTTCCTCTAGGCCCCATCTCTTAAAGGTTCACCACTTTCCATTAGCATCAAGCTGGAGACCAACCCTTTAACACGTGAACCCTTGAGGGACATTTTGATCTAAAGTATAGCAAAGAGCATTAATAATTCTTCACTTTAATACAGACTTTTAAATGTAATTGCACTCATTATGAATTTCCCCAACTGTTTAAATCTGCTTTGAATTACAACATTATGAGTCTCTGCATAAAACTTCAGAATTGTAGTTGTTTTCCAGTTAATATTGGTATGTATATAGTGCCATGAGGTTTACAAAGCAACTCCACAAACATTATCTCATCAGATGCACGCAACAACTCTGTGATTTAGTGAAAAAAGCTATAACTTATTGTTATTTTAGCCCCATATTACAGGTGCAAAACTGAGACCCAGAGAGGCCCAAGAAACTCACCAAGTCACGTAGTAAGTGGCTCTGGGCCTCATCTCACCCTTGCCAGTTCCTGGTCTGCAGCTCAGACCTGCCAGTTCTAAGTGCACATCCTTCCCCTTGAGTCCCGCTGCATGGAGCTGAACTGAGATACAGCTGCAGCCACCCTAACATGCAGTGTGAGGAACCTTACATGAGAAAGCTCCTGCACCTTCTGGGGCACTGCCTTCAGTTAGCCCCTAGGGGCCAAAGGCCTCGAGCTGGGTGAGCAGTCATTCAGGGTGTGCAGCAGGCTACCCTTGCCTAGTCCCTGTCTCCAGGGCCTTATCTAGGTACACTTTTGGCCAGATATTTTTGGGTGAAAACATTTGACCATGAGACCTTATGTCTCAATCTTTCTATCCAAAAAGAGTTCATTTTACTTAGCCTCACTGCTACAAATAGTAACAATAACAGTAACAGTAATAGCACATATTTATTAAGCTTCACTACTGTGTCAGGCATAGATGCCTTACAAGGATTATTTGGTTTTTGCTTTTGTTTTTTGGGGGGGGATATATGTTTTTAACCCCGACAAGAGTTTGCTTTACTGATCAGAGGCTGAGGTTAGGGAGGTTGTCTAACTTCCCCATGGTCTTGGAACTAGTAAGTGAGAGTCAGGATTCCAGGCAATTCCAAATAGGTGACGTCAGGCAAAGTGACTTCACAGCTGGAGTCTAAGCCACCGTGCTGTCCAGCTGACCACCTCTGAGCAGAACGTTCTCCTGACTATGTATTCTTCTCATTTCTCTCTTATGTAAATAAAATGGAAAGTGTACTGGGCCTTTTTCCTTTTTTTAGATTATCCTAATTCTTTGGTATAGAGCAAGAACACTGATTCAGAATATGGACCACATATGTCCAGAATTCTTAAAACAAGAGTCAGACAACATTTGGCACAATGAACCCTTCTTCAGTGCCTGCTAAGTGAGGGTCAATGGGAAGTGAACTGTTGGAAGAGGCAGGAGACAGCCCTAGTCTTGGGGCTGAGGGTGTAGCTTGGTGGTAAAGTGCTTGCCTAACATGTGCAGGGGCTTAGGTTCATTTCCCAGCACTGCCTAACTAAACACACACACACACACACACACACACACACACACACACTAATGCCTGGTCCCGGTGGTCAAATAATCTATGAATGCTAGTACAGCGACGAAATCTCTGTGGTCAGTCTGTGATATGGTAATGATAAGAGGGGCACAGATAAGATCCTGTAGGACAGCGGTGGTGAACCTATGGCACGCATGCTGCAGCAGGCTATTTGTATCACTGAAAGCTCCCTAAGGTTCGCCATGACTGCTTAGGGGTTGAAGGAGGGGAGATGACATTTCACTTGGGAGCTTCAGGCAAAACTTGGAGAACGTAGAATTTGAGATGGGCCTTGGGCGATGAGATGAGTGGAGAATGAGTGTTTCAGGTGAATGGAGCTGAGGCACAGGAGAGACACAGGAAACGTGTGGAAAGTGGCTTGCAGCAGCAGCAGGTACTTGCAGAACAGGAATAGGCTGGTTGGGAGTTTTAAGAGATGGAAGGTACCAAAGGGAGGTCCTGGAGGTGCTACTGAGAGAGCCACCTGAAGGATCACATATGGGGGGGGGGGCGGTGCAAAGGCACTGTCCAGGCAATGACAAGTGTCAAAATATGATGATAAATGGAGGGAGACATTAAATCAATAGACTACCAATGAGGGAGGTCAGGAGACTGGAGTGCTGTACCAGTAGGTAAAGAGCCAAGTTTAAGAATTTGGTTACCTGGTATCATTTTACATGGATATTTACATGGCAAATGGGATACTGTACAGAGGTTCCAGCACCAGACTACAGCCCTACAAGAAATCCACCAGCCCACAGGGAGCCGTGGTATGTTTCTGACCAGATGAGGAACATGATAAGAATTTTTCCTTATACTTATTTATCTATTTGTTTATTTTGTGTTACTGGCAATTGGGCCCAGGGCCCAGGGCCTTTGAGCTAAATCACTAACCTTTTTGTTTTTTAAAATTTCTTTATCCTGAGACAAGGTCTTACTAAGTCACTAAGTTGCCCAAGATGGGCTCTAATTTGCAATCCTCCTGCCTTAGCTTCCCAGAGTGCTGGGATTACAAGCATGTGCCACCATGCTCAGGGAGTTTTTCTTTTTAGGAACATGAATGTTGCAAGCCTCTGGCAAAGTCATTTAGGAAGGGAAAATATTAGTGCAGATTTTTACAGTTTACTAAGAAGAAATCCTGCAGTTCTGTGTTGGAGTGGTAGCACTGGGAGTGAAAATGAGAGGATGCATGCAAAAAGGTTGCAAAGCAAGATTTTGCATCATTTGGCAGGAAATTTGAATATGGATGGAGAGCATAAAAACAATCAAAGCTGTCTTGAGGGTTCAAACTTGGCAGCTGAAGGAAGGGTAGAGCTTTCACAGAAACGGGAGGCAAGCAAAAGGCAATGAACCTTCTCCCTCAGCTGGTAGTTCTGAAGGAGCAAAGGACTCTCCTCCTCCTCCTCCTCCTCCTCCTCCTCCTCCTCCTCCTTCCTGCCCCCCCCTTTTTCTGGAACTAGGGTTTGAACCCACGGTCTTCACATTGAGCTACATCTCCAGACATTTTTAAATTTTTATTTTAAGACAGGGTCTCGCTAAGTTGCCCAGGCTGCACTCAGACTTGTGATCTTCCTGCTTCAGCCTCCCAGATTGCTGGGATTGCAGGCATGTGGATAGGCATGTACTGCCATGCCTGGCTCTCTATTTTTTTTCCCCTACAATAAAGTTTTATAGCTTTCTCCCACAGTTCACATTTTTCCAGATCGCTAATCTTGCAAAGAATATTATGATAAATGCATATTTTTTAAATTTCTGAGTATTTTAGTAGAATCCCTTCTGTATTACATCACAACTTTTCATACAGCATAAATAACAAGGAAACAAACTTCACAAAACGTACGTGAATGTCCAACTGTTACAGAGATTAGGAACAAATTGAAAAAGTCAGTGAAAACTCCCCTTGCAAAAGCTGCTGGAAGCAACAGACCAGCAAGATTTGGGACATTTCTAACTTATAACTCATAACTTAAGGTTTTGGTAGTAGGGAAAAATAGTTTGAAAATGGAGATTATGGGGAAGATAGCTTGAAAATTAAAAACAATTAGAATTTTAAAGTATACTTAATACGCTGAGCAGCCAGTTTAAACTTTACAAAATGCTAAATCAGTGAATTAGAGGACAAGTTGGAGTTGCTTCAAAACTCAGAGAAAATAATAAAGAGGGAAAAGGTAAATATGCAGAAGGTATGAGACAGGATATGAAAAGAATTCCATAGGAGAGGAAAAAGAATTATCCCAGCCAACATGTATTTAACGTGAAGCAAGTTCTGAGCTTTGGGCTAAGTAATTCTCTTAATTATTTTATGTACCACTTGCAACAGCCCAGTGAGGGCAAGTACTATGATCATTCACAATTTATAGATAAGAAAACTAATGTTTAGAGAAATTAATTATTTTACTATTTAAAGGAGAAGCTAAGATTCAGACTATTTTCCAGTAAAACAGATGCACCCTCTTTTCTTAGTAAGCTTTCAGGATTTGGTTAAAAGTAGTAAGCTTCTAGTAAGCTTCACAGAGAAGCACTTTGCCACTCCTCTCTTGAAGCAGTCACTCATTGTCTCTACCACACCCCCAGGCACTGATGAAGATGCCATCATCAAAGTGCTGGCCTACCGCAACACTGCCCAGCGCCAGGAGATCAGGATGGCCTACAAGACAACCATCGGCAGGGTAGGCACAGCCTCACCTGCTCAGTGCAGGTGACAGGGACTGGTGGGGCACCAGGGAAGCAGCACCTCTCCTTGAACAAGATGCCTACAGTGGTCTTGTGTTTTAAAAGATGAATCCTTTGTATTATTTCTGTTTGTTTGTTTTAATATATTTACATTTAAAAGAAACTGTTGACATAGATTAATGAGAAACAGTCTTAAATCAGTGGGAAAAAAGAGTCAAAACCACTGAAACAGCTTTTTTTCAATTGAACAAAACCACTTAAGTGGTGTCATTGAAAACTGACTGCTTACTTTTCTAAACCATAGTGATACAATGAAAAATACTCAATCACTTCTGTTCCTTCCTGAATATATAAAAATTAAAATACCAATTAAAGGCCAGGCATGGTGGTGCATGTGTGTAATCCCAGCACTCAGGAGGCTGAGGCAGGAGGATTACTGTGAGTCTGAGGCCAGCCCAGGCTACAAAGTGAGCTCAAGGCCAGTCTGAACTACATAGCAAGACCCTGTCTCAAAAAAAAAGGAACAATTTAAAAACTAGTATTTTTCTCTTTAAATGTTTCTTACTGATACAATTTCAATATTCTCATTTAGGGCCGAGGGTTTAGCTCAGTGGTTCTGGCACCTGCCTCACAAGCGCAAGGTCCCGAGTTCAATCCCCAGTACCAAAACAAACAAACAAACAAACAAAAATTCTCATTTAATAGTGAGACAGTTTACGAGATTTTTTTTCCATTCACAAGTTAAGCAGTCTACCCAATGGGAACTGGTAGTCTATAGGCTCAGAGTGCAAATAAAAAGTTTAGGAATGTAGCACCTGACATTTCTAAGATATAAAACATAAAATCTTTAGAAGGTTCATGCAGAAAGCTTTGCTAAGCAGATGGTCACAAAACTAGAACATCTGATAATTTTGTTGGCAATATCAATGGGACTCCCAGAGTTTCTTGACTCAATTTGAACTCTCATCTTAGGCTTTGTATTTGGCTTTTCCAGTTTCACTAATGACACAAATATGATTCAAATCCCTGAAGTAGTCATTATAGCCAACAACAAACTTGTCTGGAATTTCAAATCCAACAAAATCTGGCCTAATACTCAACACTTCAAGAGGTCCTTTTCACTAACAAGCTTGTGATCTTGGCCATCTTTGGACTCTACTGCCTGACTAAGGAAAGCAGTGTTTGCATTGTTTTGCCAGTGTCAATTATATCCTCAACAATCAAGACATTCTTTCCACTTAAAATGGAGAGCTAGGGCCAGGGTTTAGCTCAGTGGTTCCAGCACCTGCCTTGCAAGCGCAAGATCTCGAGTTCAATCCCTGGTACAAAAAAAAAAAAAAAAAAAAAGTGGAGAGCTCATCTCCACCCATTACTTTATGTCCCCTATTGACTGGTCATTACAGTAGCTCTTGAGTCTGATAAAATCTGCAGCCATAGGAAAGGATATATCACAATTTCTATCCAGTGCTTTAATGTAATCCAGCAGGTCAGCAAAGAATTTATAGCCCTTCTTGAGAACACAGAGAGCTACAGTGTGATGGCTTCCCATCTCCTTCATCACATTTTGGGCAAGCTTTTCAGTCTTGTCCATATTTAGTCCATGAGGAATAAATACCTTTTAAAAATCCTTGGTGTAATGATTAGTATACATAATAAATGTAGGTCATAGCCTGGTTCATTGACCCTAATCACGACCCTAGAGTTGAGAGCTGCCATATCAAATCCAACTTTCATGGGTTGGTGTCGGTAGGAGAAGGAAGCTGGCAGAGGGGCAGAGGAGCAGGCAGAGGCCCTTTGTCTTGTATTCAGCTGTTCTGGAAACAGTGGTTACCTGGGGAGAGTGTGGAGTAGGAGGGTGAAGAGAGGTTGGATACAGGGAACTGTTGGATAAGGAAGAATAACTTTCAGTGTTCTCTAACACACAAAGATAAGTATGGTTGACTATTAGTTGACTATTTCAAAAAAGCTACTAAAGATTTTTAATGTTCCCAACACAAAGAAATGATCAATGGCTGAGATGATGGATATACCAGTTAACTCGATCTGATCATTATACATTGTGGACATATATTGAAATGTTACATTACACTCCATAAATATGTACTATATATCAATTAAAAATAATTTTTTTGAGACAGAGTCTCAAGTCCCTCCTGGCCTTGAACTCACCATGTAGCCAAGGGTGACCTCATACATACTCATGGAAATCCTCCTGCCTCAGCCTCCCAAGTCCAAAGAGTGCCAGTGTATGGTGTGCTACCATATCTGGGAAAAAATAAAAATATTTGAAAAAAAATTTTTTAAATGATGCTGATATTCTTTATTATACTGTAGGTCCAGAAGTGATTCAAGTAGCTGTTGTTTCACAGATTCAAAGTCAAGCTTGATTCCTTCCCTCCTAAGTCTTCCCAGGGGCTAGGTTGTTGTGTGGGCTCAACTGTTGCCCTTCTGAGTGTTAGGCAAGGCTGAGCTTAAGCTTCTCTGGCCCTATGATGAAGACTTGCTAAAGTGACCCAAATATTTAAATCCAGTTTATTTCAAATAGGCTTTTCTAGGATTTGGTGTCCTGACTGCCACATAAACACGTTTGTAGTGATTTTTTTATCTTGTTTTGAGGTATATGAAGAGAATCTGGTCTTGTACAGAAATGTAATTGAAGAAGTCGGGGATATGTTAATAACTTTTTTACCTACCATTTATAAATATGTACAGATATGTTGAATAACTTTAGGAAAACCACTGTACCCTCTTGAGAGCATAACAGTAAAAAGGCAAATAATGTCTTACTGTTATTGTGAAGATATTTGGACCTTGCCTATGGCCTGGAAGGGTCCTGGAGACCCCAGACCTCCCTGGACCACACTTGGGGAGTGGCTCCTTTAGGTGACTGTAGACGTTTAAGCAGGGCTGGTGTTTTTGTTGCAGGAGCTGTTAGATGACTTGAAGTCTGAACTGAGTGGCAACTTTGAGCAGGTGATCATAGGGATGATGACACCCACCGTGCTGTACGATGTGCAGGAGCTGCACAGGGCCATGAAGGTGCGTGTTCCCCCCCTCGGCTCAAAGAGCAGTTGGTGAAAACACTGAGGTGCTGACCAAAGCCCTTATGAGGGTGGAAAGCAAAGTTTTTCCTTAGAATGTACAGAAAAAGGTTTTCTACTCATGATCCCATGATGACAACTTGGAGACTTTCTAGCAACTGACATTTAAAATTTGTTTTCCAAAGTGTTATGGAATCATTTGCTCCTGTGGCTTAGTAAGGATTGATGATTATAACTAAGGATTGATGATGTAACTATGATTATAGTTGTTCATATGGAACCAGATCCTCACGCATGCAGTGAAGCATGTGCTCTGTGGCTGAGCTACACCCCTGCAGGAGTGATCATAGTTGTGCTTTTGGTGTGGTTCTAGACACTTTCTTGTTGTGTTAGTTACTTTATGACTGCCCCCTTGGGGCCTCCCGATATGTTGTCAGTTTAGAACTGGCAGAAGAGTTCCTTACAGGTAAGGCCCCTCCACATGACCAGTCATCCTCTAGGCCCCAATTGGGGTCAGCTGATTTTCAGTGACTCCAGCATGACCTGTAAATGCAGTTACCCTCCTCAGCCATATTAATAATGACTCAGCCTTGTGGAAGGCTCTGGGCTAGGCTCTGAGAAAGCAAAGAGGCAAAAGGTCTTTGCCAGAAGATTCTGCTCTTCATATAAAGAGAACAGAAGAGGTTATGGAAAGATTAAGTCCCCAAAGCACAGAAACTCTACTGAACCTGGCACAGTAAGCCACACAGGTTAAACAGTCTCTACATGTTTGTTACAACTAATAATGTTTATGGTAAATATTGGATTTGGGGGAGGATAATTAAAAGTTAACAAATCCTATTGGTAGGACCCAGTGGGTTGTCTTTATCTTCCCCAGATTTGTGGCTATATTCCTTCTGTATCTGGGACCCAACTTAAAAAAATGTTTTTAACTGCTACAGAAAAACATAAAAATATATACCAGCCTGGTACACTGGTTCACATGCCTTTCCTCTGGTTTCCTGTGCAGGGAGCTGGCACAGATGAGGGCTGCTTGATTGAGATCCTGGCCTCCCGAACCCCTGAGGAGATCTGGCGCATCAAACAGGTCTACCAGCAGCGTACGTAACAGGCTCAGTGGCCTGGGTGAGGTTTTGCTGTGATTTGAGCACGAGCTTAGCAGCAGATGGTTATCCACTGATTAGTCTCTCTTCCTAGGCCAGCTGACCACAAGGGATCCTTAGCACCAAGCTCTTCTTGAGGCAGATCCCAGTCTAGGCAGATGTTTGTCAGTCAGCTTCTGCAGGCTTCTTAGGGGAAGACACCACTCTGCTAAGGCTGCCCAGTGCAGTATTTTATTACCCTTCAGGTGGGAAAGTTGTTTCTTATAACCAAGCAAAGAACCAAAGGTGCTTGTTCAACATGCTGGCATCAACAGTGATTCTTAGGGTTTCAAGGGAGGCCCTGGAAGGGCTGTCTGGCCCAACTTTTTACCTCCAGTATGGCCCATGTGTCCTCCAGCCTTCTCAAAATGATAGCCACTAATCCCTCTTAAAAGCCTCCAGAGAATGATATGTATGAAGAAGCTTTTTTTAAAAAAATACTTAGGTTTTTGCCCTAAGAATAGAACAAAAAATGTACAGATGTTTAGATCCCATAGTGTTTATTTGGCATTGTTTATATTAGCTAAAAATGTCCAATGGTATTAGTTTGGCTAAACAATATATTATATAGTCACACAATGAATTAGTAGTCATTAAAACATATTACAAAAAATTACTGTTACATTAAATAGTATGGCATATAGGTAAGTGAAAAGAACAAGTCAAAAATAGTATGCTAGGATAAAAAAACAATAGAGAAAAATGAAGAAAGATATTCACAAAATGTTATCAGCGATTTCAGTTATCAGTATTTCTGAATGATTAGATTACAGTAGAGTTTTCTCCCCTCATTTTACTTACTTTTCCTTTAAGTTTTCTACAGTCAACAGGTATTACTTTTGTAGAAAGAAAACAATTCAATATGAGATACGGCCAGTGTTTGGGATGGGAGATTCAATATGAGATATGGTCCGTGTTCGGGATGGGAGATTCTAGCCCTCGGAAGCTTGAACTAAGCACCCTGACTCCTGCTCCTGGCCTACAGCTTTCTCCTGAGGTCCGGGGAAGCTGGAGCTCCTCACAAGACCTCCCAGAACCTCTCTCGGGAGGCGCTGCTCTCATCTCCTTTGTTCTTTTTTTGTGTGTGTGTCGGAGATCGAACTCAGGACCTTGAGCTTTCGAGGCAGATGGCGGAACCATTGAGCTAAATCCCTGGCATCTCATTGTCTCCTTTGACATGACAGTGGCCATTTAGCCACTTTCAGAGCAGAGCCGGGACAATGAGAACCAGAGAGAGGGTTGGACCCTGTCTTTTCAGCCTCACATCTTCAGGGACAGGAATCTCCTGTTCCCACTGTAAAATGACAAGATTGACTATCTTGAGTTTAGTTTTGAAAAACTGTATGCAGGGGAAAGTCTCGTGTGACCTGCTGCAGTAAACAGACTGCTTGTGGAGGGACAGAACATGTTGGAGGGTGACACCGAGGTGGGCAGGACTCTGTATTCTGATGTAACTAATTCCACTTCCTTGCTAGAATATGGACGGAGCCTTGAAGATGACATTTGCTCTGACACTTCGTTCATGTTCCAGAGAGTGCTGGTGTCTCTGTCAGCTGTGAGTCAATGCCTCTGTCCCTGCCTCTGGTGGGGGATGGGTTCTGTTGAAATGCTCACTATCCATCCCCTTCACCAGCCTCTCATCCTTTCGGCCCCCCAAATATGGATAGTTCCTAAGTGTTGATCTTGGGCCTCTCTGTTCTTTTACCTTATTTTCTCTACAGGGCCCCTGACTAGTCACATATGCCCATTTGTTCAGTACTCACAAGTCCCTAATACATGCCAAGGACCCCTATTCCAGTTATGAAGATGACTCATGGGGGTTCCTGTGCTTTAAGGGTTTATATTATCATAAGGGAACATATCAGATACACAAATTGCTATAAGGCATGAAAAGATTCAGTGCCCAAGGAGAGCACATAGCAAGAGGAAGATTTGAGGAGAGACTTTGGTTGCAGAAACAAAGCAAAAGCGTCATGGTAGAGATGCTGGTTCAGAGAGTACTTGGAGAATTGTAGGATTCCAAGAAGCTGAGATGTGGGTGGGCACATTCCGGGCAGGAAGAACAGCAAGAACAAGGCGAGGAGGCGGGAAACAGGGGATGTGTTCGGGGAACACTTGGCTGAACAGGCAGAATGGTAATTTTGAAGCAAGCTGGAAGGATAGACTGGGATTCTGTGTTGTAAGGAGAGCAGTAGGGAGCCACCACAGGTTTGGGAGCAGCAGGTGATGGTGATGGTGATGGTGAGAATTATGTGGTTGGGACTGAATTTTCAGAAGAGGAATGTGATAGTGATATGTGTGAAGGACAGCGGCAAGGAACTGAGGACTGGGAGTCCAGATAGGAAGCTTCATCAGGGTTCCATATGAGAACTAAAGTAGGACTGGGTGAGGGTGGAAAGAGGACTACCAGAGAAGAGAGAACGATGTTCAGGACACTCCACGTGACCCCCAGCTTTGGCCCTGACCTCCCTCCTGGGCATGAGACCTGTGTTCTCAGTGCTTTTCAGATATTTTTTTATGGATAATCTGCCATTACCTTAAATTGCTCCTAAACTGAACCTGAACTTCTTTTCTCTCCCGGCCAGCTTTTCCTCCTGCCCTGCCTGTGTCTGTTACTGTTATTGCTGCTATGCCCGTGTCCAGAGCAGAACCCTGGAGATATTTCCAACTTTCACCCTTGTCTCTGACAGTCACTTAAATAATGCCTGCATGTTTCTCTTATTTCTTTCCCATATTTCCTTTCCTCCCATATTACTATCCTGATGAGCCATGCCTACACCACAGAATATCAAGGTAGTATACAATAAAAATAGCAAACCAGAGGAAAGTAGCCTGTTCTGTCACTCTTCAGTATTCCTCTGAGGCCTCAACTCTGCGTGCCCTGAGTTGGAGTCATTGTTGAGCAAGGAGGGGATTTCATGGGTTCCTCAGGTCCCACCTTGGGCCCAGATTCTCTTTACACTCCCAGCTTCCAACCCCTTTCTGGCTCAAGCTGATCACTGGAGGTTGGCCAGTTGGGAAAGGATGAGTCTGCTGGGAAGATGCAGTGTTGGGGGAGGGGAAAGTGGCAGGAGCAGGGACTCCTACTCCCCTTCCAATGGCAGAGACACAGGCACAATGTCAGGGGTCATGGTGGGGCTCGTGCTCTACTGGCAGTGTCCTCCAGAGCCATGGTAACCTTGTGAGCACTTTCAGAGGACTATTGTCCTACTTCCCTAAGGCCCAAAGTCGAACCCTTTTGGCATTTTTGTCTCATTATCATGTCCTTGGGTTCCCAGGCCTTCTGTCTTAACAATGCCCCAAATCTTCATGGACACTCTTTTACTCTCTTGGTTTGTTTTTCTTGTCCTCAGGGTGGCAGGGATCCAGGAAATTACCTGGACGACGGTCTCATGAGACAGGATGCCCAGGTTGGTAGAACTGCAGCTCCTTCTTCCAGTTTTCTTCCATGTTAGTCAGACTGCCTTCCCTGGTGGGCAGCCTTCCTTTCCTACTTCAACGCCTATTAGCCAGGCTGGGGTGTTATAAAGAGATTTCCACAGACAACCTTCAATAGCAGGTGTCTTGCAGGGGTACCCGGGGGCAGCACTAGGCACCATTCTATTTCCACTTCTGGGTCCCAAACTTCTTGATATTGGGATAATTGCGTGGTGAGCTCAGGGAACCACTGACTGTCTTCTGAAGTAGGGTGCTGCCTTTGCTCTGTTTGCTGTGCATTTTTTTCCCCACAGAATATTTAGTAAGACCTGTGTAAAATAGCTTGGAACAGCATATACCCTGCGGGGTAAAATTACTACCAATCCCAAGAGATGGTTGCTTCCCTGCACCCACCCATGGATGTTTTTTCCTGGGCCACTCCCTGTAGCCAGATAACACTAATAATAATAGCTCATAAGCCAGGCGTGCTGGTGCATCCCTGTAATCCTAGGAACTTGGGAGCCTAAGGCAGACAGATGACAAGTTTGAGACCAGCCTGCCAACTTGGCAAGACCCTGTCTCAGAATAAAAAATATGAAGTTCTGGGGATATAGTTCAGTGGTAGAGCACCCCTGGATTCAATCTCCAGTACTGCAACAAAATAATATATGATAATAATAAAAGAATAGCTCATAAAAGTGGGTACCAAATACTGTCCTAAGATTTTATGTTCAGTACCTCATTGAATTCTTGCAATAACCCTATGAGTTAAGTACTGCTATCCGCATTTTACAGACAAGGAAATTGAGGCTGAGAGAAAAGTTCCCTGTCAAGTTCAGACAGATAGTAAATGGAACAACTGAGATTTACACTTGCATTCTTTTTTTTGTTTTTTGGTACCGGGGATCGAACTTGGATCCTTGTGCTTTCGAGGCAGAGGTCAGAACCACTGAGCTAAATCCCTGGCCCAACACTTGCATTCTTAACCAATATACAACCATAGTGAAGGACTGGTTCTACTCAGTGTGGTGGCATCACTGAGCTAAATCCCCAGCCCCTAGGCATCAGGATTTTAAGAGAAGCACCCCAAGAGCACGGATTCCTATCAAACCAAGAGAAGCTGTGTGACTGTTTATATTCCAGCCTCAGAAATTGCAGAATCTCTTCTGCCTTTTTTTTTTTTTTTGGAGACAAGGTCTTGCTATGTTTTCAGGCTGGTCTCAAACTTGTGGGCTCAAATGAGCCTCCCAAGTAGCTGAGACTCCAGTTGTGCCACTATTCCCAGGCATGCTTTATTCATTGAAGCAATGTATTAGGGGTTTTCCGTAAGCAGAACCAGTAGCATGGAGAGAAGATGATGATGATAGATAGATAGATAGATAGATAGATAGATAGATAGATAGATAGATAGATGCCCCTTGACTTACAGTAAGATTTTGTCCCAATAAAGCCCTTAAAAATTGAAAATTCATTTATTACACCAAACCTACTAAACATCCTGCTTACCAACACAGTACGCAGTAAGGTGTAAGTATTTTTATCCTCACGATTTGGGGACTGACTGGAAGTAGTGGCTTCCCAATGCCTCCCACATTGCAATAAAGTATCACACGGCATATAGATAGCCTGGGAAAAGATCAAGATTTGAAGTATGGTTTCTACTTACCATGCATCATTTTCTCACCATTGTAAAGTTGAAAAATCGCAAGGCAACCCAGTGTAAGTCAGGAACCCTCTGTTATCCATGCATGTGTGTGTTTTCCTTTCCAGCCAACAAAATAAAACTAAGCAAATCAGCTCTTGGAAGTTCTGGAAATATTTGTCCTGGCACGTCCTCTTTGATGTTGTAAACTTGTGTTTTGCTTGGCTTCAGGACCTGTATGAGGCTGGAGAGAAGAGATGGGGAACAGACGAAGTGAAATTCCTAACTGTCCTCTGTTCCCGGAATCGAAATCATCTGTTGCATGGTAGGCACTTACCTCACTTCCTAAAGAAACTATTTCAAAGATAGTGAAAATTATATTACCCATAATAAATTTCCCTCTTTTCTTGGTGCAGAAAACTGATTGTACTGAACTGCCTTTGATTCTTACCTTGGAATGTATGAGTTCAAGATGTGAATAAGGGATAATTTCTAAAAAATTAATTATGAATAACTACAATGTAGTTATAAAAGTTCGGCAGGAAATCTACCCTCATAGTAGGTCCTTTTTCTAAAGCAATCCTAATACTTTTCATTTTCATTTAGTTATAATTTTTTTTAAAAAGTCTTCAGTACATCAGGAAACAATAAAATAGAAATCTTAGTTTATATTTATTCCTCTTTGATATCCAAACTGTGAAGCTAATAGAAGTGATTTCTTTAGGGGTTATGTTGAATTAGACTAATAGTGGATAAGTTCAGATTTTATTTCCTATGTGTGGTGTTTCCAGTCTGTTTCTGATAATTCTAAACTTTGTAATGTGCTTTTAACTTCTTTGGGGAAAAAGACACTATACAATTGTAGAATTTTTGTTTTAGGCTTATATTCTTGTACACAGAAATAAAGATTTAATAGGATATTTCAACTTTTATACAAGCTCTTTAGGTTTTTACATATATCACAATTTTATAAATCCAACATACTCTTGTCACACACAGATTTACGAATGAGTTTGCCAAATTGAAAACATAAACTAATTGAAAAGTACAACACATTTTAAAGTTGTAATTATTTCAACTATTCCACAGGGACAAAAAAAATCAATTACCCCTATTAATAAATTTCATGGGCTACCAGCAGACACTTGAACTTGCGGCCAGCTCTTTATTGCTTTGCCTTCCTTTGCTTGATTTCCAAATAATATAAATCCCCCCCCAGTGGCACATTCCCAAAACTGCAGTCTCAGTACGAATTTTCACTTTCCAGACACAAATCAATAGGCAGTTATAAAATATCTGTTTGTAAGCCACCAAGAGAAAGTGTTTTAAGCACTGTTTGGATAAAGAAGACTTCATAATGTTCTTGCAGCCAACAATAATGGTGAAGATTCTCAATTATAGTTTTGTCAATAGTTTTCTAACTTCTAGATGTGATGTTAAGCATATCATAAACATTGTTTCTTGCAGTATGCCAGCGGAGTAGTCATTATTTCCCCCAGTTGACAGTGGAGAAAGCTGAGGCTTAGAGAGTGTGTTGATTTGATTCCAAGCAATATACACTGACTCCAACTCAAGAAAGAAAAGAGGAAATAATATGGAATGGGCAAAGAGAGAAAATGAAAAACACTGATGGCACATAAAATTAAAGGGAAAGTTGAGTAACTTCACGAAGAACAAAAATCAAGGCAGTTTTGGGCATCTCCCTAGAAGCAAGTCATAGCTCTTATTTCTAAGACAGAGTTTGCTGACTGATGTCTGGTCTCCATTTTAAAATGCTGATTTTGGGGTTAGGTATGTAGTGTGGTGGTAGAGCATTTCCCTACCTAGGTGAGGTCTTGGGTTCTGTCCCTATCACAAAAAAGTCTAATTTTTACACCCCTACTTCAGACTGTCTGAAGTAGAATCTCTGAGAGTGACACCCAGAAGTTTGACAGGTTTCCCACATGAATTTTTTTTTTTTTTGAGTCAAGGCCAGCCTTAAACTCACTGTGTAGCTCAGAGTGGCCTCGAACTCATAGTGATCCTACTGCCTCAGCCTCCTGAGTGCTGGAATCACAGGCATGCACCACCACGCCCAGCTTCCCAGGTGATTCTTATGTTCATTGACGGAAAGGTGACTCCATGGTTTGGGCCATCCCCATGATCTGCTCAGTTTAAAATTCCCAGGAAGGCGAACCTAACTGGGTGAACTGCTCACTTGTTTGGTAGAAGTTATGATGTATGTTGTTGGATATGGGTGTCCCTTCATGGACAACCCATGAGAATCACCTTGACTTAAGTAAGACAGGATACCAGAGGAGGAAATGGTAAGGAGATAAACAATACAGATGTCTCCTCTAAGAAGCCTCCAGAAGATGATAGCAAGAGAGGGAACATATTCCATTACATTAAAAAATACTTGGCAAAAAAGCAATAGAAATTTAATTATGTTAAAGTCTATTAAAAGATGCAAACCGGCTGTTATCAAATGTGACTCAGTTTTGTGGGGTTTTTTTGGTACTGGGGATTGAACTCGGGACCTTGTGCTTATGAGGCAGGCGGTAGAATCACTGAGCTAAATCTTCGGCCCATGACTCAGTTTTGAAGAGGCTGAACTGCTTTAGTTTTGATGAGCCAGAAGGAAGCTGAACACATAGGTGACTGCTGAGGCCAAAATTGCAAAAAGACATTGTGCTTATTAAGGAAACAAGGAGAAAAGAAAGCAAGTATCTCCAGAGACTGTCTCCACTTTATTTGTGAGGAAGCAGTGTCCCAGATAAGGGAAGGAACTTACCTGATGTCCTTCAAGAATCACAGTTCTCTTTCCTCCTTGCCTCTGGCCCATTCTGCTGGGCCAAAATATCCTTCTATATCTCAGCCACGTTGCTAGTTACTGTGCTCTTGAAATATGCCAAAGAACAGTGTAAAGTAGTAAAAAGATGCTCATTCTGTCCATAAATTTTAGTTTCTTTTATTCTTTTATATTATTATTTTATTTATTTATCTATTTATTTATTTTTGGTACTGGGGATTGAACTCAGGACCTTGCACTTGTGAGGCAGGCAGCAACAACCACTGAGCTAAATCCCCGGCCCTCTTTTATGTTATTGATAATGCTATTTTGTTATTGTTTGTAGTGTTTGATGAATACAAAAGGATATCACAGAAGGATATTGAACAGAGTATCCAATCTGAAACATCTGGTAGCTTTGAAGATGCTCTGCTGGCTATAGGTAAGCTGGTAGGAAATGGGGAACAGAGAAGCAAATGTCTATTGACTTTCCTCTGTATTATCAGTTTATTGTCAAGGGGTCTAGAATTCTGATTTTCAGAGATCAGAGTTGTTTAAATCACGTATGTTCCAGGTTTTTTATTGGTGTTGGTTTTTCAGATGAGGTCTCACTGTGTTCCCCAGGCTGATCTTAACTTCTGGGCTCAAGTGATCCTCCTCCCTCAGCCTCCCAAGTACCTGGGAACTACAGGCACATGCCTCAATGTCTGGCTAATGTTCCGGAATTTTAAGCAAGAAATTTTATATACAACTTGGTTGCTATTGTGCCTTATTTTTTTATATCTTCTATGCTTTTATATCTCATTGTATGAGAAAGATAATACTATACTAGCTGGATCTTGCAAATCTCAATGGTTAGAACTAATAACTGTCTCTCATGGCAGACATAGTAATCATTGTGAAATTATATGTCTCCCTTTGCTTTGATGACCTTTATAAATTACTTCTGTAGGAACATGATAAATTAAGGATTTACTTTCCATGTGAGAAAATGCCTATAGTATAGTTTATGCTTATGAAATATTATATGCTAAAATTTCTCTGGCAAAGCAATCAAGAGATATTCTTGATACTTTGTTTTTTCCTTGATGTTTTATAGAAACGGAATATCTGACTTTTCTCATAGGTTTTTGCTGTAATCTTTTTTTTTTCTTGACAGTAAAATGCATGAGGAACAAATCTGCATTTTTTGCTGAAAGGCTTTATAAATCTATGAAGGTAAATGGCCTCATTTTTTAACATCTGAGAGTCTTTGATTTATCTGTGTCTACCTTCTTAGTTTGCTTATACCCTCTACCCAACTTTCAGCTGAAATATCCAGTTTACTTCACCATTTACTTTACTGAGTACTGCTAATAATAATACTAAGCTAATTTTTATTTTTGGTCATACTAGGGATTGAAGTTAGGACCTTTGTACTGAGTTAATCCCATCCGTGTTTTCAAATTTTTTTATTTTGAGACAAGATCTCACAAACGTGCTGTTGCCCAATCTGGGCTAGAACTTGTGATCCTCTTGCCTCACTGAGTGATATTTATTGAGTATTTATGATGTGTGGATCACGGTTCTTAATGTTTATATGTATGGGTTAACTTTATCCTTAAAACAGTTCTATGATACTCTTATTTGGGCATGGGGAAGATACTATTATGAATCCCCATTTTACAAATGCAGAAACTGAGGCATAGAGAGGATATACAATTTGCCCAAAGTTCTCAGTGAGAAATAGTGGAGCAAAGATGCAAATGCATCTAGTTCCAGAGCCCATCCTCCTACCTGGATTCTATTCTGCAAGCACCCAGGCAAGGGAACCGTGAGAGGTTAAGGAAAGATCGAAATGTAGCCCTTGTTCACATAGACTGTCTGGCCTTCTAGGGAAAATAGGCATGAGCAGACACCAAAAATATGGTAGAATGTAAGACAGTAATTGAGGATTCAGATATTATAGGGACACAGAGGAAAGAGTTCAACATTTGTTTTCTTTTTAGGGGAGTGTGGGATCCACAAAGAATATACTAAAAAAAAATTGGAGGCTAGAGGTATAGCCCAGTGGTAGAGTACATGGTGTGAGGCCCTTTGTTCAATTCCAAGCACCCAAAACAAAACAAAAACAAAAAGCTGGCGTATTTGACCAGGAGCTTCAGGGAAGCTTTCCATGGAAGGGAAGGAGGCAGGCAAGCCGGACCGTACCAGGCACGTCTCTAGAAGACAAAGCAGTGTCTTCTGGGCAGAATGTAGAGCGTTAGAAAAGTAAGCCATGGAGAGCCTTGAATCCTATGGTAAAGAGCAAAGATATTCCTTAGGCCTCCAAGGTTGTGGAGGAAAAGACACCATCAGAAGAGTTGTTGTGCATCTTGCCTTACTAAACTGAGGAAGAGCACCCCCAAAAACAGCCAGCCTCTCTTATACAGGGATCCTGTTTTCTTCCTCAGGGCTTGGGTACCAATGACAACACCCTCATCAGAGTGATGGTTTCCCGAGCAGAGATTGACATGCTGGACATCCGAGAAAACTTCAAGAGGCTCTATGGAAAGTCTCTGTACTCTTTCATCAAGGTGGGTCACAGCAGCCTTACCTCCACCAGGGGGAAGCACCAATGAAACGGGCCTCAGCATTTAGCATTTCTGGTCCCCTCCTGCCTGGCATCTAACACCCCTCTAGAGATGGTCCTCTACTTCAGGTATTTCCAGTCTCTCTCCTTCCACACAGATCTTTAAATCTATGGCAGGCTATAAGCTGGAAATGTTTGCCTTCCTAAGTACAAATTCTACTTCATTTTTACTCCAGACAGAGAAATATCACATTCTAATGAATATTTTTAAGAGCACAGTTTCCATGTCTACCTAATAATAATGAAGGAAGCAGCTGGATTCAAAATCCTGTGCAGTGCCAGCTGACGTCTGCTGGAAATATGGGAAAACAATTTAGTTTTCCTGGATTGCTATTCTTTACCTGGTACCAGACATCTAGGAGTCCTAAAATGGCACGGGAGGGACGAGAAATGATTCAATTCTCAAAACCCCTCATTAGTGGGATTTTGCTTCTTGAGGAAGCCAGGACAGTCTTGTAAATGTGAAATCGAGACCATTTCCATGGAAGCTGGAGTTGTCTGCACAATAAACTTCATCAGGTTTTGATTTGTAAATTAAATATTCTGAAAAATAAAGAATACATTGCCTATTCAATAACAATTGTCAAAAGAAACAGGATAGAAGCATAAAATTGGTAAATGGAAAAGTGACAAAAGATAAAAAATGTGAGTTATAATAATAAAAGTAAACTCTCAGGTTAGATAAAAACATAAAATCCCACTTTATATTACTTATAAGGAATAACTAAATCCTCCACACACCTGTTATCCCAGCACTCCAGAGCTAGAGGCAGGAGGATCGCCATGAGTGCAAGTCCAGCCTGAACTACATAAGTGAGACCCTCTCTCAAACCACTCTCTCAAAAAAGGAATAACTAAAATACAATGACATATAAAAAGCTTAAAGAAAAAGACCAGAGAACAAGCATTTGACCAATCAAAACAAAACAAAAGAGCAGGGATCAAAAGAGAAAATTTTAAGGAGAAAAAACATTGCAGAAAGTGATCACTTTATATTAATAAAGACAACAATATACAATAAAGATTAAATTGTCATGAAACTTGGGGCGTCAAATCATATTATATCCAAATATAAATGAGAAACTTGAGGCTCCGAAAGAAGAAAGACATTGACAAAATACTATTCTAGTAAGAAACTGTAATATTCTTTGGCAGATCAATAAGTCAAAGTACAAATTAGGATATATTTAGATTGATTTTAACAGATACTATTTAAGTTTTGAACTCTATAGACAAAGACTTGGCCTTTTTCAGTGCCCATGAAGGACTAGCAAGAATCGATCTATTGAGCTAGGAGTGTAGCTCAGGATACACACAAGGCTGTGGGTTCACTCCCTAGTATTAAAAGGAAAAAAAAAGATTTATTATTGGATCATAAAAATTTTCCATTTAGAAATTATAGAACCTTTCTGGAAGGCTATCCACAGCCTGTATCAAAAGGCATAAGAAAACACCTGCTCTTTAATGCAGTGTCTCATTTTATGAAAATTTATTCGGAATAAAGGATGAAGAAAACACTCAAAAACTTAGCTACAATATGCTTATTGCAGCAGTGTTTACCATAGTGAAAAACTGGAAACAATATAAACATTCAACAATGGAAAGGGTGAGGGCATGATCAAATAAATTATTTTTACCTATGTATAATGGAATACTCTGTAATCATTAATGTTGTGGAAGAATGTTGAGTAAAGTAGGGGCATATTGAGGCTATATTGTTTTAAAAAGCAGAGTACAGGAGCTGGGAATGTAGCTCACTGGTAGAGCTCTGGTCTAGCATGTGGAAGGGGAGATTTGGGAGCTTGGGGACTGCAGGATACAAAAGAAAACTATGGTCTCATCACATAGGTATCTATATGCATAGAAGAAGGACTGGAAGAATATGCATACGCCAAAAAGTTAACAATAATAATCTGTAGATGGTGGAACTATGGGTGATTCTTATGTTGTTCTTTTATGTCTTTACTTTCCACACTGAACAAGTGTGTTATTTTTGTAATAAAAAATAAACAAATTTTTTAAAGAGTTGCAAAATAGGGCCGGGGATTTATCCCAGTGGTGCCTCCACCTGCCTCGCAAGTTCAAGGTCCCGAATTCGATCCCCAGTACCAAAAAATATATTAATAAATAAAAAAAATTTTAAAAAAGAGTTGAGAAATACAGGGAACCCTTGACTTACAAACTTACAAACTCGATGGTTTTCCTAGGGCTGGTTGTAACTAAGTCAATACAGCTGAGATCTGGATGTTTGCCTAGGTACACACTATAGGTAACAAGAGGCAGATGAATCTTCCGTTAACCTAATTAACTCAGTTGTGACTTGAGGGTCCACTTTATTCAGCCAAACTTGAAAAAGTTAAATTAGATGACTTTGAACTGTGTATTCCATTTAAAAAACCATTTATTTGACTGCAACTCTGCTTCCTTTGCCCCCAGGGTGACACATCTGGAGACTATAGGAAGGTACTGCTCATTCTCTGTGGAGGAGATGATTAAAATAAAATCCCAGAAGAATAGGAGGATTCTCAACACTGAATATTTTTTAACTTCATTTTTCTACACTGCTATTAGCATTATCTCAGAATGCTTATTTCCAATTAAAACGCCCACGGTTGCCTCATAGAGTTAGACTATATTATTATCATCCAAAATTAGTCATTCTGATGCCTTAAAGCTGTACTTGCATTTCAAAGCTTATAAGACCTAAATGGAGATTTAAAATTAGAAATTAAAATGTACTTCTTGTTTTTAACAAGTTATTTCCCCATTTGTGTCATGGAAATTGAATATATTAAATGTCTTCATATTTCTTTTCAGTAAATTACATTTTTAAATGGAAGATTAGAAGACTGTTATAAAACAATTTTTTCCCTAATCCTACCTGTAGAGTGGCTGATAATTTCTTTATTCAAAGTTGTGAACATTCAGTTAGTAAGAATAGCCATTCAGTCCTTGCTTCAGCAACACATATATTAAAAAAAGAATAGCCATCCAGTTTTCTATTTTATATTGTCATAGATGGAAAACATCCACAAATCTCATTTTGGTTGTGTCTATGGTGTTAGCTGATCTTTAAGTTTGGTATAGAAGACTGCGTTTATCTTGTCATACACTGAGATCACTTTCTTTTGGTTGAAGTGTACCAAAATCAACTCATCTACATTTTAAGTTTGGTTAAGCAGATATGTGTCTGGTTATCAAACATGAATGCCGAACATTCCGGGATATTATGGTTAATATCTTAATCTAGCTTAAAAGTGAATGGGAAAAAATAAGCTTCAAATGAGGTAATTCTGGTAATAGTATAATGCTCTGAATTTTGCTTGACTTAAAACATTTTGGCTAAAATTTTTTAAATCTTTTTGATTTTGTTGATTTGTAGTAATTTACATATATACTGTGCCTTTTCAACTTTACTATCATTCTGAAAGCGTACTTGGATTTAATTAAAAAGTTCAGGTTGTATACAACATGGAAAAATAATTTTAATAAAAAATGATGGCTTTAAAGTGAAGTACATTCTTTTTCTGGTTGAGTTTTCCCCTTCTGAGATTTTTCATCCTGGATGTGTTTGATGGGAGCTATTTTTGAAGGAACTGTGATACTCAATTTCTATTTGGAATTACAACATAAAAAAAAAATGTAGTCATGTTTGCCTGCTGCCATAAAACTAATGTTTATGCTAAACATTACTCAATGATATTAAATAATAACTTATTCTCTAGAAATGATTGATTCTTTCTGTTCTACTAAGTAGAACATTTATATTAAATGGGGCTGGGGGTGGGTACCCCAGTGCTTAATGTGTGCCAGGCCCTGGGTCCTGTCACCAACCCAGAGAGAGAGAGAGAAAGGGAGAACAGGAGGGAGGAAAGAAGAAAGGAAGGAAACAGGGAAGAAGGAGAGAGACAAAAAAGAAAAAAACCCAAAGTTATAAGAAACATTTATGTTATAATTAGAATACTTGCTTTCATTCTATAATATCACTTACATTTTGACAAAATATGATTTGCTTTTCCCCATTTCAGTTAGGTGCTTCTTGTCAGTCATAAGTGCTGGAGCCATTGGTGAAATCTACACAAATACTTTGACATTCCAGTTAACTATAGGAAATAATACTGCCACTTCAATACCTCCTCAGAAGACCATGGAATTTCCAAATCAACTTTATTTGGCTTTGGAAGCACTGTTAAATTGTGTGTGTGTGTGCTTGTAAGTTTCATCTTTAAATGATATTTATAGCTTAGCTGAATTTTTTAAACAGATGGCAGTTATTAAAACTTTCAGGAGGGCCGGGGATTTAGCTCAGTGGTTCCAGCGCCTGCCTCGAAAGCGCAAGGTCCTGAGTTTGATCTCTGGTACCAAAAACAACAACAAAAACTTTCAGGAGATTTCTAGAAGAAAGGATAAAGCTACCCTGGAAGAATGTTTGTTTGTTATATTAAAACAAGCATGAGTTTGAGATACAATTATGAAGCAGCCTTTTCTTACTCTCAATTTACATGTATTCAATGGGGCTAATTCTTCTGTGCTTATATGTAAATTCAGATACTTTTAGGTTTTAAAAAGTTCTGCTGTGCAGCCTCTTAAGGTTGTAAAATAGTATCATTTCAGTAATCAATATATTCATTCAGAACCCTAAACTTGATGTACAGTTGAAGCATCTTCTCTTATTCATTTTTGGCCTACCCCAGTGGGAGGCTGGCGTTTGGGGAAGGAGAAATGGTGGACTTGTCTTCTTTCTCCACTGAAGCTTTCTCCCACACTGCCTTTGCCCCTCAACCTACCTTCCTTCGGCTCTAGCAGCAGGAAGATTAAAGGGGTGTGGGGAACTTGGTTAAGGAGTAAATTGTTAAATTGCAGGGTGAAAGCACACAGACTCTGTGATGAGTGAATCAGTAAACAAAAAGAAGTTTAGTGAAGCATGTCATGACTGGCCATTGTCCTTCCCCTTTCCCCAAGAAAGCCTTGAGACAGTTCCTTGCACAAACTGCTTTTCTTCTGCTTTTTTTCTCTTACATTGATATTCTAAATAAAAGCCAGAGAGTTCTAGGGTTTGCTGCTACTCCTGGGAATCTCCCTAATGTTGGGTGCTTTCGATTGAGATAGACATTCTGGGCCTCTCTGTGGTTGAACTAAGTTTCATCTCCAAGTCATCTTTCATTCTCTGCGCCACCACCATGGTCACACAGTGCAACAAAGGGGAGCAGCAGTTGTACCTGTTACTACTCCTACTGTAGAAGATCAGGCCTCCCTAACCTTGGCAGATGTTTAAAGCTGATTCTTGTGGGCATTCTTATAGGTACCCAGGTCAATCCCATCACCAGGGAACCACTCACCTGCACATCCTTTGGCAAGGCAAATGTAGTTCTTTAGCCTCTATGAATTTGGCAATGACTTTAGGTTCTCTGTGCTGAAGTCTATTTGCCCTTGTACCCAGGCCTCTTGTACAGGATCTAAGATGATCTCATGCTGGCTAACTCAGGGTGGCCCACACATGCTCCATGGGAAATACCTATACATCCTTTGTGCTGACAAATTCTGTGCATGCAGTTGATCTCCTTTCCACCATCATTCTCTACCTCCTACCTCCATTTCAAGCTGCCTCAGTTATGTTCTCTCAGTTCACAGTTCTAGTGAATGAGTCAGACACCAGTCCACTGAGGCCTCCAAAGTACATATGCTATCAATGGAAGTGTAACTTGGTGCGTTGATGCCATCGATTCAGAGAGCAATTTAGCATTGGCTAATAAAATTGACAACTGCCCAGCAAATCCACTTCTGATCTGCTTGAATCTTTTGCACATAATGTTCATTTCTGCTCCATGAGACCATTAAAGTAGAAAAACTTTAACTCCCTCAGAAAGAGTGGATAAATTATGGGTCAGACATACAATAAGCAGTGAAAATTTAACTAGATATTTAACCAAAAGTATAATTTTGAGAGAGAAGAAAGGTACAAAATGAGAGGTATGGTATGATTCCATTTAATTATATGTTTAAATGTGCAAAAGAAACAACATTGCACACAAATGTGCATATAAGGGCATGCCTGGGAATGATACACATCATTCTTAAGACAGTCATCACCATTAGGAAGACAGACAGATGGAGACAGAGGGCGGGTACCACAGCAGCCTGCTTGGTATTTTTACTGTTCTATTTAAAAACACGAATCATCAATTATATCTCAGTAAAGCTGGGGGTGGGAAGAATGAATCAAAACAACCATAACACTTCAAGCCTTTAAAGGATCCCCAGGTGTTTGTATTACCAGGTGTTTGAAACATAAACATTTTATGGAATCAGGGACTAAGAGCAAGCTGTCTAGAGTCTATGGCAAGCGTTGCTACCCCAGGAGAAACCTGTTAATTCTGCTAGGACTTCGTGAAGGCACTTTAAGCCTCTAGAGTCCAGGCCTTATTGAGGTCCCACTGGTGCTGAGAGGAAAGAAAAAGGATACAGGCAATGTTCACCAGTGGATTCATGTCTGTAGCAGAGGAGGAATGAAGAAACCTAAATCTCTTCTTTCTAAGTTCTCCTTACACATGAAGCCGAGCACCAAATCCACCGCATGAGGCCCAGCATGTGGGAGCACCTTCAAGGATGAGCCCAAAAAGCATGTTTTTGCCCCTTTCCTAGCACAAGGCCCCATAAGCATCTGGAGCTCAAGCACCTTTGTAGAATGAATGAATGACCTGGACCTCCAAGTCTTGCACAAAGAGGTACGTTAACTACCGCTAAAAATTAGGACTGCTCACAGTTCATAATAGCTAAAACTTGGAAACAGATAAAGAAAATGTGTGGTTTTTTTAATAAAATGGAGTACCACTTAGCCATAAAGAATGAGGAACTAGAAACTTTTATGGCTAAATGGATGCACATTAAGACGATACTCTTAAGTGAAATAAATAGGACACATGTAAATACCAAATAGTTTCTCTGGTGTGAGAAACTGAAAGTGTAAAGGATCAAAAGGCATAATAGGTATTGTGAAATAGGAAGAAAAGGTCCAAAGGGGAAGGGGAAGTGGGAGGGCTTGGGGAAAGGAAAGAAGGGAATGGAATTAATATGAGCTAATATGAGAAAATGAAAAAATGGAAACAAAGTCTTTGTAAATAGGGAGGGGTCGAGGGGTTGAAGGGAGGGCAGGGGAATGGGGGAAAAATAACCAAGATAGATTATGTAAAGGTACAAATCTCCAATGATGAAGGTCATTATATTGTATTCTTAAAATGTGCCAATAAAATTAATTTAAAACAAATCAGGACTGCTTTAAAAATGAGTTTGGCAGGGAGAGGAAGGGAAGCTTCGGGCCACGTTCTGCGCAGGACCTGTCCTCACACCGCCCACCTTCCCCGCCCTTTCCGGCTCGGCTCGCTGCGCGCTTGCGCCCAGAGGCCCGCACTGTGTGACGAAAGCGAGGGGCGTGGCCCTGCGGTGGGTGCGCGCTGCGGGCGGGGCGGAGGATGGACGCTGGAGCGCTCGCTGCAACGATTGAGGCTGCGGGTGAGAAGGTGGCGGTGTAGGCACCTGGGCGAGGGGGAGGCCGGTGGCGGCCGGGTCATGGCGGGAGACCCTCTCCTCTGGACTCTCTGAAGTGTCCTCCCTGAAGTTCTGGGGAGCCCGGTCCCATGGGCTCGCTGAGCAGCCGAGTGCTGCGCCACCCGGGGCGAGCCCGACCCCCGCAGGAGCCGGGTCCCGGGGTGGGGGGCTCGGCTCGGCGGCCTGAGGCTGGCGGCGACGCGGCGGGCCCGGGTTTCTGTTACTGCCCGGGCAGCCGCAAACGCAAGCGGAGCAGCGGGGCCTTCTGCTACTGTCACCCCGACTCCGAAACAGACGAAGATGAGGAGGAAGGCGACGAGCAGCAGCGGCTCCTCAACACCCCTCGAAGGTACGTGAGGGGGCGCGCCCGGGCTGACCAGCACCTGCACCTGTTGGGCCCGGGGATGAGCTGGCGCTCCCGGCCTTAAGGAGCAGACGTGCCTTGACTGTGTGGATGAGGGAGTTGGCCCATGCGGAGCAGATCAGGGAGACGCTCGGTATTGTGCACCGTAAACCACAGACGCCACCGCCGTGTTGTTACAGTCCCCAAGTGACACTTAGAAACGCCAAGCATGCGTCTCTTTGATCCCTGGAGACGACTGATCAGCTGGCCTTTCTTGGTACACCTTTGCCCTCTTGAGTGTGGGTAGCCGCAGAATAAATTGTTTTGCATCCGGTTGCCTTAAATAGTACTGAGAGGTACAAGTAGTGTGTGAGATGGACACCTTTGTTGTCAGCGAAGGGGAAATAATTACCCACAGTTGTTCTTAACTGTAAAGGTGAATTTATCAGTGATGTGCATTTGTTCCTAATAGGAACAGTCTTCCAAAGTCTGTAGCAGTTGAAGTCGTTGACCGGATTTGCAGAAGGTTGCGACAACTTGCTTTACCTTTTTTTTGCGGGGGGGGTGGGGGGTGTTGAAAAACAAAATAATTGTCTCTGAAATAGTATGTAGTTTCCAGTAGAATATAGTTTCACATAAACAATCTGGTTGCTGTCTGTTTTTTTCTTTTTTTTCGGTCGTTGTAGTCATAGATGGAATTTTAAAAACAAAACATTAAATTACTCAAAAAATTTTGCTGCACAAGTGTTACGTATTTATTATTGAAAAAAAAGTACAGGCGCTGAGAGTGTAGTTCAGTGGTAGAGCTAGCTCTTAACGATAAAACTGTTAATAGTTTGGTTTACAAAACTTTTAATATCACTTTTACCCGTGAATGTTTGTGTTTATTTACAAAAGTGGACCCCTACTGTGAATATTTTTCAGTAACCTTTTTATTAGAGTCAATGCAGCATAGTTTTTTTTGTTTTGTTTTGTTTTGTTTAATTAGCTCAATGCAGCATAGTTTTTTTTTAATGCAGCATAGTTTTAAGAGCTCAGATTAAGTTTTTATCTGAATTGTTCGCTTGATATCTTTCTTTTCCTCATATGTAAATGAATTTATTAATACTGTCTTATAAAAGTTGCACAAATCTGAGAATGAACACAGTGCCTGGAATGCATGCCTTCAGTAAATATTATATCTCTTTGATGAATCGATCCGTTTATCATTATAAAATGTTCATACTTCTTTATTCCTGGTAACAGACATACTGCATTCTTTTGGGGGGGGGGGACCCGGCATCAAACTCGGGACCTTGCGCTTGTGAGGCAGGCATTGGAACCACTGAGCTAAATCCCTTTCCCTATATCACTTTCTTTTGATATTTGTGATTTTTTTTTTTTTTTTCCGTACCGGGGATCGAACTCGGGTCCTTGCACTTGCGAGGCAAGTGGCAGAACCACTAAGCCACATCCCCGGCCCTGATATTTGAATAGTGTACCTTTTCCCATCCATTCATGCCTATCTGTCTTCATATATTTAAGGTAGATATCACATAAACATCATGTAGTTGGATTTTGCATTTATTTTATCCAATCAGACAGTCTCTACCTTTTGATTACTATTTCAAACACATACATTTATTTACTGAAATATATGTCACGACCCACTTGAAAGAGAAACTAAACAGTAATTTGAACAGAGAAATTTTAATATAAGCATTATTAATGGAATTAACTATTAAGGGCAAAACAGTAAGGTAAAGAGAGCTCTAAAAAAACATACAGGAGGGGCTGGGGATTTGGCATAGTGGTTCCATCGCCTGCCTCTCAAGCGCAAGGACCCGAGTTCGATCTCGGGTACCAAAAAAAACAAAACAAAACAAAAAAATACAGGAATAGAAAATACAAGCAGCCACTACATGTAGAGCTTAGGTAGGACATCTAAGGTTCAAATTTGAAATTGGGCCCTCCCATCCCAGTCTGAGATTCACATGTTGTTACAGGAGTTATAGTTATAGCCCAGTGGGTGGTGAAAAAGTTCCCTAAGTGTGGTAGGTCTAAGGCTGGCAAGCAGGGGTGCAAACAAAATTCTTTGGAGGCCATCTGGGCCACATTAGCTGAAGATACTACCTAGACCAGTGATGGCGAACTTTTTAGAGATGGAGTGCTCAACTGCAACCCAAAACCCACTTACTTATTGCAAAGTGCCAGCACTGCAATTAAACCTGAATATTGAGGTTTTAGTTTAGAAAAAAACAACTCATACGTTAGCATCTTTTGTCTTAAAAGAAAAACACAATAACAAAGCTTTTAATGGTACAAATAGCTTTTTATTGAAAGGTAAATTTTGCATTTGATGTGACTACACAATTAATGTGATCTTTGCTGTTGAATGCATGCTGCTAATTTGTTGCTGATAATTTGTCAAACCTTGGCTAGGGCAACTTGGCTTGCACACTGACATAGAGAACTCTGTGCCTGCTGCAGCATGTGTGCCATAGGTTCACCACTGATCTAGACCTTCACAGAAAGATTTGCCAACCCTGAGACTACACTGGTGAACCAGAATAGAAAGTTTTAAAGCAAAACATTATTGGAAAATGTGTGTCAGAATATAGTGTATGTGTATTAGTGGAAGATAACTGACTTATTCAGCCCTGCATAGCTGAAGGGTATAAAAAAAATATTAGTACCTGTAATTTTGTGTGTTGACACCGATATATACTTCCTAAGGTTATCTGTTGTGCTTTTTCACCTCAGCAGAAACTTTAACTTCTAGGCTTGCCTTCCACTTCATACCTTTTGTTAACTGCATGTCTTACTTTTTTTTTTTTTTGCATGTCTTACTTTTTACATTAACAGAACCTGTAAAATTCACTGTTCTGCAACCATATCTTCAGTATTTTGTTCATAGATTGGCTCTAAAAATAGAAACTAGTAAATAGTATTTATTATAACTATAAAGATTGTTCACTTCAGTCAAGTAGTGTGCTAGAATTAAAAATCATATTTAATGGGCCCAGTGTTAGGAAAGGGAGAAATTTCTGTTCAAAGGGAGAAATTTTCTAACCTCGTGCTTACGTGGACACTTCTTAAATCTCATCAAAGGCTTAAAGTTGGGCCATTTTTGTTTGTGTTTTATTTGTACAGTACCTTTTTTGTGTTGCTTTTTTATTGTCCTAGTTTCTGTCTTTTTCTCTCCTGTTGACAAAAGAGTATTTCTTCATTGTATCTTCAGGCTTTTCTATCTTTTGAAATACACTTGGATAGAATCCATCTCCTCCAAACCCTGGACCTTTCTCTAGGGTTTCTCCATCTTCTTTTTCAAAACCATTTGAATTTGTTCTTATTCTGGGACTTATTTTCATCCCATGTCTAGGATTGGATCCACTGTTTTCTGTGGCCTGTATCTTTTTTCTCATTCATTTTAATGAACTACGTCTTCCAATATTTTCTCATGAAAGAGTACAAAAAGGGACAATTTATGTATACAGTATCTAAATATAAATTTATTGTCTTACTTTATTCATCCTTTGACTGGATGGGGAACTCTATAGTAATTTTTCATATCACTGATGATATTCTTTATTGTCTTCTGGTATACAGCATGGATGAAAGATTTGACCCTAATCTAATTTTCTTCTAGGTGACTTTGTCTCCCCTCTCTGGAACTTTTGGAAGCTTATTCTTTGGTACTTTTGAATTGAACTAAAATATACCTAAGTGTGATTCTTTTGATGGCCTTGGTAATTGATAGATCTTTATAATCTAGAGACTCATATACTAGTCTCAAAGGGCTCTTTTTCTGAGTAATCCTCTATCATAGCATCTTATTATTTTATAGATGCAATAATCTGAGATCTCTAGATATATGAATGAGAAAGATTTTTAAGTTTCCCGTAAATTACAGTATATATTTCCTCTGAGGTGGGGTCAGTTTCCCTCCCTCTTTGTCTCCGTCTGTCGGTCTCTTTCCCTCCCTCTTTGTTTCTGTGTCTTCCTTCCCCTCCTCCTCCCCTCTCTGTGAATCCTTCCTCCTTGCCCTCTTCCTTCCCTCCCTCCCTCCTGATTTTCCTTACTTTGGGTGGTACTTGGTTGTCCTCTTATATTTAAGGATGAGTAGCTGATTATTTTGAGTAGGAAGACTGCCTGAGTTAGATTTGGTTGGGGAGGGGTGGCGGTATACTTCGTTTTAGAACAGAGAGTACCAGATGCTCTGGGTTCGTAGCACCCTTAGTGTTTCTGTAATTTTTTTCATGTTACCCTTCATGGAAAAGTAATAACCTTCTTTTAGGTTCACACAACTTAAAGGTAGTAGATTATGTTGTCTGAAAGATTTTATATGTCTTTCAGATTTAAAATAACATGGCCAGGGATGTAGCTCAGTGGTGCTGCACCTGACTTGCAAGAGCAAGGTTCTGAGGTCGATTCCTGGTACTGAATAAAATAAAATAAAATAGTCCACATAAGCTGGGCATTGTGGTATACAGGCCTATAATCCCAGCACTCTGGAGGCAGAGGCAGGAGGATCAGTGTGAGTTTGAGGCCAGACTGGGCTACTTTGTGAGTTCAAGGCCAACCTGAACTACATACCAAATCTTTGTCTCAAAACAAAACAATAAAATAGTCCACATATCTCTCTGAGTTTGCTGTGGTGCTGCAGATGTTTGTGTGTTGCTAGGGATTGAACCCAGGTCCTAGCACATGCTAGGCAAGTGTTCACAGAGCCACATCCCCAACCTCCAATTGTTTTGGTGCACAGAATAGACTCCTAAAATGCCAAAATGAGGACTCCTTTTTCTGGAGGACCAGCAGCTATACAAAAGCCTTAGGTCTTCCTGGTAGGTTTGTTCTATTTCTTTGTAGAAAACCTTGGAGTCTTTTTACCTGGGTGTCTGTACTCTGTGTTCATAAGAGCCTGAGGGAGGTCATTAGGTGAGCAAATTTCCCTATTTCCTGCCCCACTTTTCACTTCCATCTTTTGTTTCCCTGAAACCCCACAGTTCTAAAGGGCACATAGGCTTAACCTCTATCCATATTTTGGACTATGGTTTTTTCACTGCTCTTTTTCATTCCAGTCTATTTTCTAATTTCTATATCCCTTGAAATCTCATCAGGTGATGGGCCTATTCTCACATTTTTGCTATTGCAGACTTATTTCTTTTATATTCTTACTCTTTAATGTGATTTGGGGAGAAATGAGAAGGAAACATGTATTCATTTTGCTATCAAGAACCAGAAACTACATTGTCTCATTTATTTCTCATAATAGCTCAATGAAATGGATACTGTTATTATTGATCCTCCTTGTACAGCTGGGGAAACTGAACTATGGGGGACATGGGACTCCAACTCAGATATCTACAGCACCAAACCATGTGCTGTTTATTTATTTATTTATTTTTCAGTTTATTTTGGGACGGGGGCTCGCTTTGTTGCCCAAGCTGGCCCCAAACTCCTAGGCTTAAGAAGTTTTCCTATACCAAGCTCCCAAGAGGCTGGAACTATAGGGGTACTCTACCATGTCTAGCTTACCTGTGCTATTGTTTTTAACATACGTTGGGAAGAGGTAGTAAATATGCTGGTTTAAGACTCCATCTGAAACAATTACTACTTTATCTCTAAAAAGAGATCTACAGGCTTTTTTAACCACTAGGAAAGGTGTCAGAATTGGTCAGGAATTTAAAAAATTAATCAGCTTCTGCCCACCCTTTTCTTATTTGCTGAATCATTTTACTCAGTGATTTCCAGATTTTTTAAATGAACTCTTGCTTTCCGTTATATCCTTTGCAGAAATCCAATAGGTTCATGGATGTAGTAGGTGATGTTTGTGTTGCAGATAATAATTATATAGTATAATAATTTTACATAATTATTATGTATAGTTACACTGAGATTTTCCATAGTGCTGGTTTCTAAATCAGAAAAGCAAAACCCACCATGCTGACTTAACCATCTTAGTTTATTGACTGTGTAATTAAGTTAATTCAAAAATAAAAAATTTATAGAAAGTATATAAAGATCTCTCTCTCATGCTGCTTCCATCTATCCATTGTTATCCCTCCTGTGAGTACCCCTGAGATCACCACTGTTATCTTATGTACTCCTCCAGTCATTAACACATGTGAATATCTGTCTCTATCCTTTTGCACAGTGCATAAGCTGGCTCTAATAGAAACTGAACAAAAGGAATATTTTGTAATTTATGCAAAATCAGAAAAGCACTCAGTTTTGTATATGTAACTTTTGCATTTCTTTTAACAGGAAAAAATTAAAGAGTACATCCAAATATATTTATCAAACATTGTTTTTGAATGGTGAAAATAGTGACATAAAGATTTGTGCTCTAGGAGAAGAGTGGAGCTTACATAAAATATATTTATGTCAAGTAAGTATTTTATTCTTCTATTGACTAACCAGGTAATTACTTTAAAAAAAACTCAAAATTCTTTTAAGTCATGATCTTTCTCATTGCCTTCAACAGTAATTTTTTCATATATCTGATAAAAAGTCTATTGGAAAGAGGCAAATGTTATTAGTGAAAATTTAGTTTGGATAGAAAACATTTAAACTTGTTTGTTATAATAGCCCAGCATCATTTCTTTGTCATTACTTGAATAAAGTGCTTGTTTTGGTGCTTTCTATTTATGAAATGGGGAAGCTGGGAGAAAATGTTTTAACCTTAAAGTTAAGATTGCTGAATTTCTTTCTTGATGATTATTCACATTGAATAAATTCATCTTGAGATGTCACTTCATAGTTGAAGTTGAATGGAAAGTTCTTGACATTTTTCCTTCTCTCCCAAATAATCTTGTTGAGTTAAAGACCACAAATACAGCAACTAACTTTCTTTTTTTTTTTTTGGTACTGGAGATCGAACTCGGGTCCTTGCGCTTGCGCAGCAGACGGCGAAACCACTGAGCTAAAATCCCTGGCCCACAAATACAACAACTAACACAGTTAGCTGATATACCTATTTGACTTTTGTGTTGAAAATTTTTCTGCTACCCATGTAAGAGATTCAGACTTTCAAAGAATGAAAGTGTTGCTCTAATGGTTCAAATATTATATTCATTTATTCTCTCCCTACGTGTGTGTGCTAGGCATTGTTTTAAGAACTGGGAATAAAACAGTGAACAGTCCTAGTCCTGTGGAAGTTATGTTTTTTCCTCTCTACTGTCTGAGAATAATTACATAATTAAGGCATTATAGTATAGGATTTTTTAGGAAAAACATTTGAAAAGGAATTTCTCTCTCTCTCTTTTTTTTTTTTGGTACTGAGGATCAAACTTGGGACCTTGTGCTATTGAGGCAAGTAGTGGCACCTCTGAGCTAAATCCCCAGCCCTTCTCTCTCATTTTAATCATAAGGTTTTTTTATTCTTTAAACAAGTTTACTTTGACTTGAGGAATATATGTAGTCCAAAGAACATATCAGATTGTTGGCCTTAACCTATGGATATGGTCCATATCTTTTAAATCTCTGGAAAAAAACTCTCAGTTTTGCTAACTTACGGGTGAGAATGCCTCTGTTAAAACTTTACCTCTTACTGAGCACAGTGGCACATGCTTATGATCCCAGCTACTTGGGAGGCTGAGGCAGGCATATCACAAGTTAGAGACCAGCGTGGACAGTTTAGCAAGACCTTATCTCCAAATAAAAAATGAAAAGGGCTGGAGATCTAGCTCAGTGGTAGAGCACCCCTGGACTCAGTACTCAGTACCACAAAAAAATAAATAATAAAATAAAAATTAACAAGAAACAACCACTTTACCTCTCATGGAAATGGAGTTGATTTTAATTCAAGCCACATGGTACAATATAAGCCCTCATAGGACAGAAATATCTTTTATTTTCTCCTGTATCATAGGGCCTTCTATGTACAGTTGGCTGTCCATATCCATGGGTTCATATCCATAGGTGGAACCAACGATGGATTAAAAATACTCAGAAAAAAGAAAATTGCATCAGTACTGAACATATACAGACATTTTTTCTCATTATCCCCTTAAAAATCATAACCAGTGATTTGTGTAACATTTACATCATATTAGGGATTATAAATAATCTGCAAATGACTTAAAGTATATAAGAGGATACGTATAGGATATATGCAAACATAAGAGACTTGCTCATCTACAGATTTTGGTATCTGCAGAGTGTCCTGGATACAGTTCCCCCACAGATACAAAAGGGTGACTATAATAAATATTTAGTAACATTTAAAAAGTAAATTTCTTAATATTCGTTCCATTCTATAGTACTGTAATTCTAATTATGAGAGATGCTATCTAGGAAGTAACTAAGGACTTAATCCATTCTAGGACCTTTCCTGGGATTCAAGTCCACTCTGGATATTTCTGATTACAAAAAACTAAATTTGGTTTTCTTCTGATTTCTTTGGGGAGTATCCTTTTAGTGCTGACTTGGGTCTGGTCTGAAGCCTTACTGAGGCACAGTAAAGATTTAGCAACTTGAATACTTTTGGTTCCTCTTCCCTTCCCTCGGTTCATTATTGTGTATCCACTTTGTGTATTGTCATATGTTTGTAAGAGATACTTAAATATATAATACAGTTTTTAAACTTGAATTTAGAACTTCATTGAGAAGGAAAACCTATATATAGTATACTCAGAAATTGTTTAAATAAAAAGCTAACCAGATTCAAATAGTAATGTGAGAATTCAATTTGGATAGTAATAAGAATTTGCTTTATTGTTAAAATATTTCTAAACTAAATGTATTTTGATACACCTAATAATAAACTTGTCTTAATTTCTTTCCTCCTATACACATATTTAGCAGTTCCTTTTCTCTTGAAATAATATGGTGAATCAGTTTTGATAGAATAGTTGCTTGAAGTTAGAAATGGGAAAATAACTTGGAAGACAAAGTACTGGATAATCATTGGTGCTTTTTTTTTTTTTTTTTTAAAGTCAGGCTACTTCTCTAGTATGTTCAGTGGTTCTTGGAAAGAATCCAGCATGAATATTATTGAACTGGAGATTCCTGACCAGAATATTGATATAGAAGGTACTATCTATCTCCTTTTATGAAAAAATCATAAAAAACGACCTTTTTATTCCTTTGGTAGTACATGCATATTTTAACCTCACTGGCTAGGGATAAAGCTCCATTTAACACCTGAAGGTGATAATTTTGTATTAATATACACCCATAGTTTATCAGTTCTGTTCTTCATCATCCTATTCTTTACTCATGTGGGCTTTGTGAATCTGTTTACTTATCTTTGTAAATGTCTGCCCAGGATATGGTTTAGGTTGTAGGAGGAAGGAAGAAAAAGTATCACTTACTAAAATTATGTGATCTTTTAAAAAATTTTTAAATTAATAGATCTTTCCTGAATAATAAAGGAATGGTCATGTAACCGATGTTATTTTATATTACTGAGGCTTACAGGAGTTAAGGGACTTGTTTTGGATCTCCAAGCAGTTAGTGACTCCACAATCAGACTGTGGCTGTCCTTATTCCTAATTCAGTACTTCTGCTCTCCTCATTAATAGAAGTACCCAGTGTCCAGTACACAGACAAAGAGAAAACTTGAGTGTTTACAGATATTGAGAATCATGAAGGACATTTTTGAGAGGGCAATGGAGAGGAGAGTGACCAGGTTTGGATAGCTGGGGGGTGGAGGAAGGGGGGAATAGGTTTAGGGAGGGATGCCGCGAGTGGGTGTGGGATAGACAGTGCTGTAGCTGTGTATTACATTACTCCCTTACTATGTTCCCCAGTGGCAAAGCACAAAAGAGGCAGAATTAAGTTTATCATTGAGTCTGTATGGCTGGATTTAATGATTGCTTTACTTAGGGCCATCTTATAAAACTTCTTCCAGGGTGTGTGAGTTCTGATCCTAACTACTGCCAAGATTTGATGTAGAAGAATGCAATTAGATTTGGTAGAATAGAAAAAGTTATAACATTGTTATTATATTAACACCATCAATCAATAACCATTACTACCATTTTAATGGTGACATTTCTCTGATCCTTTTATGTACATACCAGATTTAGACAGATGTCTTTGTGTGTGAAAACAATTATTGTTATTTTTACAGTAATCTTTTCTATGTAATTAATTGCTTTTATTTCATCCTACATGTGTATTTTGCTTGCAGCACTGCAAGTTGCTTTTGGGTCACTGTATCGAGATGACGTCTTAATAAAGCCCAGTCGAGTCACTGCCATTTTGGCAGCAGCTTGTATGCTGCAGTTGGTAAGTATCACATTATTCAGAAAAGATTACAATAGTGTCTTTGTTAATAATCTCTTCTAAAAACAAAAATAAAGCTTATCTTTTAGAATTTTTAAAGTAAAAATGGAATGCATTAATACCATTTACTATAAATCACTTAAAATGCTTAACCAAAACTAATCTATTACTGAGGGGGTTATGATGTCTGCAAAATGAATGCAAACTATTTCTGTGTAGTGTAGTATGGCTATAATGTAGAAAACATTTACTCAAGTTCATTTGCAAATTTCTATTAATCATTGGTCTTGACTGTTACACGGGTGGTTTATGATTACCAGTTTAGTTCATGAGTTCAAAAAAAATCAGATGCTACTATGTAAACTTTCTTAATTATGAATAACTTTTTTTGTACTATATGTGCATTTTAATCTACTAGTAGAATGACAGATTTATTCATTCAACAGAAATGTATTAAGTAGTATGTCAAACTAGGCCTAGAGAACCAAAGGTAAATTAAGTTGTGGTTCCTAAATCTGTATAATTTTTACCTGTGAATTTTTCAAAAATCATAATCCCTATCTTCAAGGAGCTCTCAGTATAATGTTTATGGAAAAGTGGAATGGGAGAGTTGCTGTACAATCCCAAAGCTAAAATAAGTGCTAGCCAATGTTATATGTATGATAATATCATATGTATGAAGTATTATATGTATATATAGGGAGAGAGCCAAAAGACAGATTATGAAAGTTCCTCTATACCAGTGATGGTAAACCTTTTAGAGCTTTCAGTAATACAAACAGACCACTGTGGCACATGTGTCATAGGTTTCCCATCAGTCTCTATATACATCGCTAGGAAGTTTAGCCTTTATATGTAAGTACCATTTGATGATTTTAATCAGAGGAAAGACAATGTTATGTTTCAGAATAATACTTCACGATCAACATATGCACAATGAATTGAAAGAAAGGTGAGTACAGGATTAGAGCCAAAAATCTATGGCAGTAGTACAGTGGAGAGGATTTTTTTTTTTTTTTTTGGGTACCGGGGATTGAACTCAGGTCCTTGCACTTGCAAGGCAGGCGGCAGAACCACTGAGCTAAATCCCCAGCCCAATTGCAGTAATACAAATGAGGTCTAATGTAAGGTAGTATAAATAAACTTGGAGAAGAAAGAGTAGATACCTAAGATATTAAGGAAGGATAATTCACTGGATGTAGTGACAGAGGAAATGTTAAAGAGGAAATAGGAGGGTTCTAGAATCACTTCTAGGTAAGTTTAAAAACCTTGTTTTATTTTAAACAGCATTTTCCTTTTATCAGCATTTACATACTGGTTTACTTGAATAATTTACTAAGTAATAGCTTGTTAAATATCCTTGGCTGAGATCATTTGATTTTTAAAATATTTTGATCTTTCAGTATTTAATTTAAAATAAGTATACCTTGGGTCCTTTTAGTTTTAATGTTCTATATCTGCTTTCTGGCTTATTTTTACAATTTACTAACTTAATAATATACTTGCATGATGAGTATATTTCAGAAATTGCAATAAAAAGTGGCAGTATTCTTTCATACATTAAAGATAGTTCATTTGAAACCTGCATGTTCAATTTAGAGTAAAATGTAGGTTGTTTAGAACTATAATGTAATTATTTTAGGGGCATCTCATATTGAGTGCTAATTCATATTGTTGTAAAGCTCATCACTTAATTAACTGATTATGTAGAGAGTTCTTAATTTAAAGACTAGACACAATGCTGCCAGAGAAATTTGCAAAGGTCCCAGAGGTCAGAAAAATAGAAAATAAAGAGAATAGTAATATATTCGCCCCACAGAAAAAGTCCATTTCCCAGTTACAAGTATTTAATTGAATACTTGCTGAATTCTTTCCATATTTTTATTGGATTATTAAAAAACCTTAGGCTTGGGCCGGGGATTTAGCTCAGTAGTTCTGCCGCCTGCCTCACAAGTGCAAGGACCCGAGTTCAATCCCCGGTACCAAAAAAAAAAAACAAAACAAACTTTAGGCTTGCTGCACTTAATCAGTTTTCTTTCTAGCTTCCTTTTTTTCCTTTTTAGTATGTAAAAGCACATATCAAGAGTTAATTTTTCACAAATGAAATGGGCCTTTCCAGTGCTTATTTATATTTACAGGATGGTTTAATACAACAATGTGGTGAGACAATGAAGGAAACAGTTAATGTGAAAACTGTATGTGGCTATTACACATCAGCAGGGACCTATGGATTAGATTCTGTAAAGAAAAAGTGAGTTATTACCCTTTCTTATTTTTCTTCCCATCTCACTTCTGGGAATTTGGTTGCTTTGATTTCTTAAGAGAATGTATAGCTATAAGAAAGAAAGAAGGAGAAAAAAGAATAGGGGATAGAATTTTATTATTTAAAAAGTCCCTTTTTGATTTTGGACTAATTAATAAATTCCTCAGAAATGTTGTTTTTGTAAGTGACCAAGGGTGGGTTAAACATAAAGAGTAGGTATAATTTACACCTGTAATCTCAGCACTCTGGGAGGCTGAGGTGAGAGAGTTGCAAGTTTGAGCCCAGCGTGAGCAATGTAGCCACTTAGTGAGACCCTGTCTCTATATAAAAAATTTTAAAAGGCTGGGATGTAGCTCAATGTGAAGGCCCAGTAATGAAAAAAGAAAGTAGGTATAAATAGGCATTATATCCATGTAACTACTGGCAATTTTTTATCTATTAAGAAGTAAAGGAGTCGGATTTAGTTCAGCGGTTCTGCCGCCTGCCTTGCAAGCGCAAGGTCCTGAGTTCAATCCCCAGTACCAAAAAAAAAAGAAGTAAAGAACTTATTTTCAGATTTTAAATACAGAAATATGTAAGCTCTTTCATAAACCATTTAACACCAACTTGAATGATGCTTTCTTAATTAGAAATGATCTTATTAATATAAAGGGAATATTCCTTTAATAACTACTGACAAAAGCAATACTTAATTTCAGATTACTATGCTAAAACTTTTGAGCATGTCATAGCAAGATTAATGCTATTTTTTATTAATAAATTCAAACTACATAATAGATAATGTAATAATTACTTTTTGTAATTTCAGATGCCTTGAATGGCTTCTAAACAATTTGATGACTCATCAGAATGTTGAACTTTTTAAAGAGCTCAGGTATTTGAATTTTAAATAACATAACATTTTTCATTTGGTAAATTATGCAAGTTTTTTTTATAGAACATGAAAAGTATACAGTTTAATGAAAGATACTGTGACTATATCCATAAACTAAAGAAATGTAGCATAAATTTCTTTGTTGTAAATGATAAAATGTATAATATTGTATTAACCAATTTTAACAAAAATATGTTGCTGTTATAAGACTATTTAAGTTTCAAGTGCTTCCTCACTTTTGCTGGGCTCTTGGAAAATCTAAAGGTTAAAGATACTCTATTTGGGGTTATGAAGGATGCAGAAGTGATTGTGTCATGCTTTCTGGTGTCAGGGAGCTTTTCATAATAATGAAACTAAGATATTTGAGATAGATCTGAGAAACTCAGAGTGGAAATGAACTTTTGAGGGCTTTAGAGTACGAACATCAGGAGTATGTGGCATTTTGAAGGGAATATCTAAAACCAAAGATTTAACTTGCATTGCTTCCTGAGATGTCAGTTTCATTGTTTTTATAGTGAGAAAGGTATGAGAGAGGTATATATTTTTTATGTTTAAATACATTATGGAATAAAATATTCAGATTTCTTTTAATTCTCAATATAAAATACAATTTATAATTTTTGATTTGGTTTTGTTTTTTGAGACAGAGTCTAGCTATGCAGTTCAGGCTGGGCTTGAACTCACTGTGTAGCCTAAGCTGGACTTGAACTCAGAGCAGTCCTGCCTCAGCCTCCCAAATGCTGGGATTACAGGTCTGCATTACCATGCCTGGCTTGGGTTCTTTTGTTGTTTTTTTTTAATGGTGAGACCACCTTGTGGATTTTTTTTCATTCCTCTGCCTTAAGAGGTACTTCAGTAGACAAGTTTGAAAACTGTCCATCACCTAATGATGTCAAGGCATAAACAAATCCCTGCAGTATGTTTGACTTGAAAATAACACTTGTTTCTTTCCATTCATAATTTTTTTCTTTTTCTCTTTTCTTTTTCTTTCCTTTCTTTTCTTTCTTTCTTCCTTTTTTTTTTCTTGGTGATACTAGGGATTGAACCAAGGGCTTTGCATTGAGCTACATCTCCAGCCCTTAGTTGTCTGAGTTGAGCTAAAACTTGCAATTCTCCTGCCTCAACCTCCAGAGTGCTGGGATTAAGGCATGCACCACCACACTGAGCCATAATTTCCCACTGAGCTTTTTTTCAAAAGAAACCTAGACTGAGGCAAAATTGCAAGTCCAAGCCTGACGGGCAATTTAACAATTTAGTGAGACCTTGTCTGAAAGTAAAAAAATAAAAAGGTGCTAGAGGTACAGCTCAGTGGGATGGCCTCAGATTCCATCCCCAGCATTGAAAAAAAAAAAAATCACTGATCATAGGGGAGTCATCTTAAAAGTTCAGAAGCTTCTCCACAAAAAAAAAAAAAAAAAGGCTCAGATTCCTCTGAGCCCACTGGGGCTCCCAAATGTAATAAAGGTTTTTTCCTCCACACACACACAAAAAAAGTTCAGAAGCTCCACATACCTTATAATCCCAGCACTCTAGGAGGCTGAGGCAGGAGGATCAAGAGTTCTGGCCCAGCCTGGGCACCTTAGTGAGACCTTGTCTCAAAATTTAAAAAAAAATTTAAAGGGCTAAGGAAGTAGCTCAGTGTGAAGGCCAGCCCTGGGTTCAGTCTCCAGAATTGGGAACACACACACACACACACACACACACACACATTACTAAACAAAAAACCCAGAAGCTCTTCTTTTTATGGCTTAAAGGAAGAGGGAAAAAAACACTGATGGTATCATTTCCACTTGAAATTTAAGCTAAAACACATTTCTTTTCTTTTTTTTTTTTGGTACCGGGATCCAACTGAGGATCTTGCACTTTCGGGGCAGGCAGCGGAACCACTGAGCTAAATCCCCAGCCCAAAACACATTTCTTGATCTTATTCTCTTTAATAGTAATAAAAACATTTTATGACTAAGCAGTTCTTTTAAACTTAGAGATGAAAGATCATTGTATGTGCTGCTGAAGCTAGCACATAGATAACTTTAAAGATAAAGCTGTTTTAGTGAATTTTGAGGTATCTTTTTTTGTGGGTTTTTTTGTTTGTTTTGGGGGGGTTTTGTTTGTTGTTTTAACATAGAATTGTATGCAAGGAAGGCCACAGAAGGCTGCCACTTAACAGTGCATACTGAAAGTTGTATTACTGGGACCTTGCTGTAATTGGTTTAACAAATCAAAGCATATCATTTCCCTATCAGTGTAAAAACAGACATTTCACAGCACACTTTGCGAATTAAAAGTATTGCTAACTTCCAGAATATTAATAACTAAGACTCATTGTCTTGGGCAAAAAAGCTTGTCATTTTTAATTCCACATTTTCATTTGACAAAAATATATTTAGTATGTTCAGAGTTATTGAGCCCATTCAAGAAGATCGGCTCACTCTTCTGTTTTATCTTTTCCAGTATAAACGTCATGAAACAGCTCATTGGTTCCTCTAACTTATTTGTGATGCAAGTGGAGATGGATGTATACACAGCTCTAAAAAAGGTATTGGCGTGGCCAGGGATTTAGCTCAGTGTTTCTGCCGCCTTCCTGGCAAGCGCAAGGTCCTGAGTTCAATCTCCGGTACCAAAAAAAAAAAAAGGTGTTGGTGTAATATGATGTATACAAAGGTATCACCCCAGCATTGCTCATAATAGTGAACAATTGGAAACAGCTAATAGTGTCCAGTGATAAAGGGTGGTTATGTATGTAAGAAAAGGAAGAGGAGTTACAGGTGCTCCTTAACTTACGATTGGGTTATGTCCCAATAAACCCTTAAGTTGAAAATGCACTTAATATATCTAACCTATTGAACATCATAGCTTAGCCTCACCAACCCAGACACTTATATTAGCTACAGTTGGGCAAAATAATCTAACACAAACCTTATTATATAATAGTGTCACGTATCTCATGTAATTTATTGAAACCATACTGAAAGTGAAAAACAGTGGTTGTCTGAACACACACAGCATCATGAATTAGAAAAATCCTACAACAAACCGTGGTAAGTTGCAGAACTCTCTGTCAAAATACTATATTTAAAGATTTATGGTTTCCAAAATATAGCTGTTATGTATGATTTGTGCTGCTCTAAATGCGAGTATGCATGTGTCACTGTAATATGTCTTTAACTTTTTCAGGATTTTCTAGAAGGGAATAGCTGGGTTGAATGGATTTCTATTTTTAGTTTTTTCAGGAGTCTCCACACTGATTTCCATAATGGTTGTACTAGTTTACATTCTCACCAACAGTGTGGTGTAGTGTTCCTTTTCCCTACAACCTCCCCAGTTTTTGTTGTTTTTTGAGTTCCTAATGATAGCCATTCTTTTTGTAATAAGATAGAACCTCAGTGTTGTTTTTATTTGCATTTCTCTGATGGCCAAAAATGCCGAACATATTTTCATGTATTTATTGCCATTTATACTACTTCTTCTGAGAAGTGTCTGTTTCTTTCAGTTGCCCAACTTTTGTTTTTGTTTTTGTTTTGTTTTGGTACCAGGGATCAAACTTGGGTCCTTACGCTTGCAAGGCAGGTGGCAGAACCACTGAGCTAAATCCCTGGCCCAGTTGCCCAACTTTTGATTGGGTCTTTTTATTTTGAGGGTCTAATTTTTGAGTTCTTATATATTCTAGATATTGGTCCCCTGTCTGTTGGTTGTTTCCTTTGCTATGCACAAACTTTTTAATTAGCAAAACAATTTATAATTACTAAGTGCCGGGCTGGAGGCAGAGGACTGGTTTTATGAGTCCTCCTCTACTGTGTTCTTCCCACTACATAATTTTGCCTTTAGCCTTTTGTTTCTGACTTAGAGCATTGTGTACAAAATTAATACAAAATTACTAATGTATTTTAAAGCTTTACCTTTTAATACAATAAGATGTGTTTGTGACTGTAAATACTTTTCAGGGATTGATTTCTTGATGCATATTTATTGTTGGACTATGTATATAGTTAATGCCATGATGAATTTAAAGTTTGTAAGCATGTTTTATAATAGTGCTACATTTTTCTTTTAGTTGCTTGTTAAATGGAAATTAAAACTTTTCAGGTATTATATTTAAAGGTAGGAGCTATTTGAAACATAAAGTGATGAAGTCTTGTAATTTTTTTCTTACTATTTTTAACCTAGTGGATGTTCCTTCAACTTGTGCCTTCTTGGAATGGATCTTTAAAACAGCTTTTGACAGAAACAGATGTCTGGTTTTCTAAGTGGAAAAAGGGTATGCCTGAAATTTTTACTGAGAACTCGTCTTTTTTAAAATGAAATTTGTTAGAACTGAGACCTTAGGAAAAAAAGAGAGAAAAAAATATTGTAATCCCGCATGGACAATCTAATAGTGTACTTTGATTTAGTACAATTGTCTTACGTGTTTTATATGTTCTTTGGCCTGTTGGTCGGGTTTTTAGTCTGTATATAATAATTAGCTTTATAAGGTCTTATAAATGAATTTGATGCTAGAAAAATAAGAGGGGTGGGTGGAGGGAAGGAAAAAAAAAAGAATTGAGATGTGTTATATATGTGTACCAATTTCCCATAGTGAATGTAACCATTGTGTATTGCAAACATGTACTAATAAAAAAAAAAAAATCAGGTCCTGTCTTAGTTACAGAGTGACTTTTAGATCTAGTGAGAACCCTTGCAATTATCCAATTCAGCCTCTCATTTGCAATGAGAAAATTGAAATAAAAATGCCTTAGCTAGGATTATCTGAATTGTTGCTCTTAAACAGTCACCATGCTCTGATCCTCCCAAGTTATTGTTTCTCCCAAAGTCAGATTGGGACTCTGGAGAGATAATTGTCCATGTATTTTTCTCAAACCTTCCTTTCCTACCTTGTTGCACTATGAGCTTCAAATTCTCAAAAAAGTGTACAGCTAGGGAGGGGGGAAGGGCAAAGGACAGAAAGGACAAGAAAAAAGCGAATAGAAGGAAAAAATGGAAACAGTGTTTGTAAATAAAGAGGGGAAGAGAGGTTAAAGGGAGGGGAGGGGAATGGGAAAAAAAGCAGTAAGATATTATGTGTAGGTACATATTCCCTATCTTGAAAGTTATGTGTATCTAAAAGATACTAATAAATGTTTTGTTTAAAAAAAAAGTGTACAGCTGAATTCCCAGTCCAGTGGTCTGATTAGCACCAATTTCTAAATCTCCCTGTTTTTTGTTTTTTTTGTTTTTTTTGTTTTGGTACCAGGGATCGAACTCGGGTCCTTGCGCTTGCGAGGCAAGTGACGGAACCATTGAGCTAAATCCCTGGCCCAATCTCCCTGTTTTTATCCTTACACTTCAGATTTATAAAATTCTTCAAAATCTTGAAACTAGTTTATTTGTATTCTAGTGGAGTATTGTGTGTGTGTAATCATAAAAACATTTAGGAATACAATAATAATAGATTTGAAAAATGGCTATTTGCTTTATTTTTTTAGATTTTGAAGATGTGGCCTTCCTTGAAACTGAACAAGGAAAACCATTTATGTCAATATTTAGGCATTTAAGGTTACAGTATATTATTAGTGATCTGGCTTCTGCAAGAATTATTGAACAAGATTCTTTAGTACCTTCAGGTAAGAGAACATGATGAGATCATGATTCTAAGGTATGTTTTTCTGATTATAACAGTAATATATATCACAGAAAAGGATAATGGAGAAAGTACTTGTCCTTAATCCTCAAAAGGTATACATTTTTATGCCCAAGTGGACTCATACTACATAGGTAATTTTCTGCCTTTATGTTATATGTGGCAGCTATTTTCCCATATCATATTTCATAAATATTCTCTAGAATATTAAAATAGCATTCTGTAATACAAATGTTCTATAATTTTATTTAGGTTTTTTTTTTTTCAGAACTGAGGATTGAACCCAGGATCTTCACACTGAGTTACATTCTCTGCCCATTTTTTATTTTTTATTTTGAGATAAGGTCTCACTAAATTGGTAATTTGCCCAGGCTGGGCTCAAATTTTCAATTGTCTTGCCTTAGCATCCAAGAATACTGGGATTACAGGTGTGCACCACCACACCCATTCTTTCATTTTATTAACCAGTACACTATTTTGGATCAGACTTTTAAAAATGACTTTATGTAGTGCACACTTAGAATCCCAGCACTTGAGAGGCTGAGGCAGGAGGATTGCTGTGAATTGGAGGCCAACATGAACAATATAGTGAGACCCTGTCTCAAAAAGACAAAAAATAAAAATAAAAGTCATAACTGCCTTTTCTATGAGTACTCTTTAAATTCACTTATTTGGTTTTTCTTATTCTCGACTTTTTTTGTTTTTGTTTTTGTAGTACTGGGGATCAAACCCAGGGCCTTTGCACTGAACTACATGCCCAGCCCTTTTTTATTCTGAGACAAGCTCTCACTGAATCACTAAGTTCCCCAAGCTAGCCTCAAACTTACAATCCTTCTGTCTCAGCTAACCAGAATGCTAGGATTACAGGAGTGTGCCACCATGTAAAATTGTTTATTTTTAATAATAGTATCCAGGTCTGATTTTTCAAAATTATTTCTTGAGTGTATAGTCTTCATCTACTAATTTAGAGATAGCTTATTTCCTAAAAGATGAATTAATTGCTATTTTCAGATAACTTAGGGAAAATCCATTATTTAATTTTCTGTTAGAACGTTTATAAAACCTGAAAATATTGTTTTAGGAATGTTTTTCACAAGATGAAATTAATATAAACTATTAAACTCAAGAATGTGCTTTTAACTAAGGACTTAAATCCTAATTGAATCTAAATGTATGTAATCTAAAGTCTAGTTTGAGACACAATTGAATGACCTTTAACACCTCAAAGATCATTAATTCATTATTATTTTAGCATACTTATAAAATATAAGCTACCTGCTTTTTATATTGTTATTTTAAACTTAAAATTAGAAATGATAACAATTTTGGGCCAGAGATGTAGCTCAGTGGCACAGTGCCTGCCTGGCAAGTGCAAGGTCCTGAGTTCAATTGTTGGTACCAAAAAAGATAAAAAATAATCACAATTTTATCAACTACTTATAATGTTTAAATCCTCTATATTCTCCTATTTGTATCTATTATTAACTAATGTTTATACTTCAGAATGGCTATCTTCCGTGTATAAACAGCAGTGGCTTGCTATGCTGCGGGCAGAACAGGACAGTGAAGTAGGGTAAGTATATTACATTATAATCTGCTCATTAAATCAATAGCTAATTTTTTTGATTCTGGGGATGAAACCCAAGGCTGCCTCTCACCTGGTCAGCAAGCACTTTACCACTAAGCTACATCTGTCATCCAAAAAAAAGAAAAAATTTGCCATGATTTTTTTTTTTTTGGTACTGGGGATCGAACTTGGGACCTTGCACTTGCGAGGCAGGTGCCAAAACCACTGAGCTAAATCCCCAGCCCTGCCATGAATTTTTAAATGCAGTCATTATATTGAAAAATCAGTTCTAAATTTAAAACTCAAGCTATTAAAAATAGAAAAATGATCATGTAATCAACTTTTATTGTATTCTTAAAACATCACTCTTACAAATACCTTTCTGGTCAGTTAGTGTAAAAAAGTGTTTAAATTGTGACTTGCTGTATTACTAAAGTTGAGTAATTCATATACTTTGTTTCACCTGGTATTATGATTTGCTTTCAACATATTGAAATATTACTTGGAATAATGCTTTTATAAAGAATGATTTTCATATTTACCTACAGGTAAAGCTAACTTTCATATTGTAGTATTGTCAAATTCTGAGTAATAGGTTGTTCTGAAGCTCTTTGAGTCTAACATGAATGAAACATGCCCTTTCCAAAAGCATATGATACCCTTACAAAATATTTTTACAGTTCACAGAAGGTACTCTCACATTTATTATTTGATCACTGTGCTAGCTCCTTGAAATAGGCAGTATAAATAATCTACCTGTAGGGCTGGGCATTTAGCTCAGTGGTTTCACCGCCTGCTGCGCAAATGCAAGGAGCTGAGTTCGATCCCCGGTACCAAAAAAAACCTACCTGTGAGTGTATAGAAGAGGCCTTAAGAAGTTTAATTTTTCTGCCCCCAATCTCTTTTAATCCATTTTATACACCAAGGAATTTCCTAAAATAATGGCTAGTTATGTTTATATCTAAACAGTGAATATATGAAAGTGTTATATAAATTCATGATGATTATAAAGTTATTGTTATCCATGGTTTTTAGTTTTTTGGTTGTTTTTTTTTTTTTGGTACTGGGGATTGAACTCAGGACCTTGCGCTTGCGAGGCAGGCGCTGGAACCACTGAGCTAAATCCCCAGCCCTCCAGCACAAATATAGTAAAATAGTTAAAATACAAATAGAAATAAAAAACAAAAATGAGTTAATGGAATTCAGATTTATACCATTTTGTGAATCATTCTACATGTTTTCTATTCAGCTTTTAAAATTTTGGATGTATTTTATTTTTTAAGATTTTTCTCACTTTACCAAGGATTAATATATAATCTTACCTAAGAAATTGAGCTAGAGGAAGTATTTAGCTTTCTTGACCTCAGAAGTATATGATTAAGGCTGGGTGTGTAGCTCAGTGGTAGAGTACATTCCCACCGTGTGTGAGGCTCCTTGGCTTCAATCTCCAATGCTGGAAAGAAGAAGGAAGTAGTAGTAGTAGTCGTCGTCGTAGTCATAGTTGTAGTAGTAGTAGTATGATGATATTGCCCTGATAAGATATTATGTTAAAAAAAAAGATATTATGTTCCATGATATTGAACATGTAGTCACAGCTAGCCACAGGACTGCTAAAGTGAGGAAGACTGCGTATGTGCTGGCTACTAAGTCACAATCTAGCAGAATTTCCCTCCAAGGTTCTCATCCAAGCTCTCTTCCACATTGCCAAAAGGCTTGTCTTTCTAAAACAGAGGTATAGCTGTGTTACTTCCCTGCTTAAATATGTTCGAGGACATTTGATGATAGTTAAGGGAGATGACTGCTATTCAAGATTATTGAGGTTAGATGGTGAGAAGATTTGGCTCATTATACTATACATTTTCTCTACTTTCATATGTTTGCAATTTGTCATAATAAAATTTAATAGTAACAGAACACATCTGAGAACTGTCACCTATAGGAAAAGTTGAAACATGTTAGCATGGCCTTTGGAACCTTCAGCAGTTTGTCCCAAATGCCTTTAATTTCATCTCTTCTCATGCTCATCTTACACTCCAGCTGCCCTAAATTCTTTGTTCATTTGACATTCTATTATTATTCACTCCCTTTTTGATAGGTAAAAAATGAATAGTAAACTATTCCTTCTGCATGTGTCCCCTCCCCCTGTACAGAATACACCTCCCACCTCCATCCACCAAGCTCCCATTCAGGTGCAAATAACATTTTCTCCATGACAGTCCCCCTCCACTCCAGGTGATGAATCTGTGCCTTCTTCACTCTTCTAACATTACCCCTCTTTCCACATTGTCATGGTCACTATTTCCATCTTAATTTTCTACTCACCTGAGCTCTTGGATATCAAGGACATATTTTATTTACACTTATTATTGTTATTATTACTATTATTTCCCCATGTTTGGGCATGTCATATTACCTTATCCCCCTAAAATTATTTTTAAATCTAGAAGCAAGATTTTGTTTTTAACTTGCAGGGTTTTTTTCAATAACAAGTTGACTATTTTCTCTGAAAGTTCATGATTTAATGAATATTTTTAGGCCTCAAGAAATCAATAAAGAAGAACTAGAGGGAAATAGCATGAGGTGTGGTAGAAAACTTGCCAAAGATGGTGAAGTAAGTATGTGTTATTGACAATATTCTCATATAAATTGTTGAGAAAATTTGGCTATTTTCTCTAGTTTCATGTTTGCAGTTTTTCATAGTAAGGTTAAAAACAACATAATATCTGAGAACTCTGTTACCAGTTAATACACTTTACATAGTAATCATGACACTTGTCATACTTCAGAAGAGCTTATTTAATGGTTTCTGTACCATGATGTCCTGGGCAAGTTATAGCCACCATGTCCAGTGTAGATTGATTACTCACCCTTGTATAAGACTATTGAACTTAAAATTGGAATCCAGATAAGAGATTTGAGATCATCCCTCACCAGTCCAGATGTCAAGATAAAGAAGTTATATGGGAGCTATTAGTCTTAAAAGTGACACATTTTATAATTATCCTAAATCAAAGACATTCGAGCCCTTTATTTGCCATCCGCATGAGTTACCTTTTTCCTTTTCCACCCAACATACATATATATAAATAGAAAAATATGTAAAACAATTCTTAGCCCTGCTGTGTCTAGAGAACTTGTTTTCTAATTGTTTTAAAAAGCTGATTGTGAACCATTAAATTGATGTTATAGCCTAATCATAATTTTCATATTTAAAGAAATATCATCCTAATTTAGGTAACCATTTGGTTCTTTTTCTCCCAAATTTACCTTTGTTTAGCTTTTTAGAGGTAAGTTATTTTATGTTTCCATTCCCAGTTGTGGTAAATATTCAGAGTATGAATTACTTTTTTTATTGCTCCTTCTTCCTTGTTGCTGCTTCCAGATCTTGTTCTCCTTCATCCCACATTGAATCCCAGTGCCTTTTAAAGCCAAAGTGTTTACTGCACTATCTTCCACCTTACAGTGGCTGTCACACACAGAGCTCACTGTTTTTTTCTTGTCACCACTTTTGTTACCAGTTGTGGTGATTTCAGCATGTCTGTTCCCTGACCTTCCTTCCCTCAGTGATCTTGTGTTCTACCCTTCCTCAGGCGCCCATTCCCATGAGACATCCTCAAGTTTTGCATCACTGATTACTACCACCTTCAAAATCTCCATTTCAAGTATTCCATTTTGGGGCTCCACTTCCTCTTATCCTTCTAGCTTTCTTTCTAGTACCTGGATTGCAATATTTTACCCCCCCCCTGGAATGTACAGTACATTGTTCTTACTGCCTTTTTTTCTGATCACCTTTCTCACCACATCCCTACTTCTTTCTTGACTTGACTTTTATTTTATGTCCCATATTAAAATTGGCCTTTTTAGCTTCCTTTTTCCCTCATTGACTTTTCTGTACTCATCTGGCTAAATCTCAACTCATGTTAAATCTTCCCTTTTCATACACTTCATGCCTACATCCAAATAGGTGAATATGACTAAATACTTAGTGGGTTTTCCTTAAATGTTGTAGCCATATATAAACATCTTTAGTGCTGCATGGTGATTCTCCCACATGTCTCTAGTGAATTTATTCTCCCGCTGACATAACTCATACCTTCTCTTATCAAAGGAGGAATGGCCTTGTTTCTACTGCATGATACCCTTGTTTCTTACTGCAGTAGAAAGAGAATCTGTACATCTTATCAACAGTTACACCATTTTACCTGCATCTCTGGCTGTGCATTGTTATTTTCTCTTCTGAGTATGACTGCACTGTTTGTGTTTTAATCCATCCTCTCTCCTTGCACTAAAAGTTCTGTTCCTATAACCATCACCTCCCTTTTCTGAATCATTGGGTTTTTTCTCTTTGAAATATTCTTGTTTAACATTTAAAATCTTGCAGTATCATCTGTCTTAAACTATACCTTGACTCCCCATTCTTCTCTAGCTGCACTCCATTTCTCTGCACCCCTTTTAGACAAAATTCATTTTTAAAAAAGTCGCCTGTGTTTATTCTTTCTACTTACTCTTTTCCAAGGCCAATGTAGTTGTGTTATTTTGTTTTGTTTTTTTTGTAGCCTCTTGACTATCTACGATTACTAGTGTGCATCACTGCACTCAGCTCCAGTGCCTTCTTGAATCCACTCCAAGTTCATTTGCACAACTCCACTGAAACTGCCAAGCCAGTGTCAGCAGTGATCCCCCGTTGCCAAATGCAGTAGTCAGTGTTCTGTCTTCTTCTGGCAGCTCTTAGCAGCACTGACACATTTGTTCACTGTCATTATTGAAAGATCTCCACTTGGCTTATAGGACAGCATACTCTGCTGGTTTTCTTCCTACTTCATTGACTGCTCCTTGTAAAGTCTTTCTTAGACCATTTCTTACTAAGCAAATGTTGCTGTGACTGGAGGCTTAGTTCTTGCACTTCATCCTTATGTATGCTTACTTCTAGTCTTGTGATATCACAGCCCATCTCCACACTGGTAACTCGTAACTCCAAATTTACATATCTAATTATTCACTTTACATCTTTCTTGGATACCTTATCACATCTCATATATAACATTCCTGGAGGGTGGGAGTATAGCTCAGCGGTAGAGCACTTGCCAAGCATGTGGAAGGCCATGGATTTGATCCCTGTTATCACCAAAAACAATCAAAAAAAAAAAAAAACAAATAAACGAAATCCCACAGTCTCAAGCAGAGCACTTGAGTTTCATCCCTGAATAACCTCCTTCCCAAATATTCAATGCACAAACAGCCCCTTCGTTCATCCATGTATAGGCTTCAAACTTTGGATTCATTTTGGACTCCTCTTTCTTTCATACCACTCTTGGTGTCCGTGAGAAATTCTATAAGGTTTTATGCCTAAAATACATTCTTAACATGCCTACCACTAAGTCCACGTCACCTTGTTTCCCTGACTGGGATATTGAAGTAGCCTCAAAACCGCTCTCCTGTTTTACTTTCTTTTTTTTTTTTTTTAACTTTCTTTTCATACAACAGCCAAAGTAGTCTTTTTAAAATGCAAGTTTTATAATGATTAATGATTATATCATTTCCTTCTATAATACCTTCTGTTCACCTCCCACCACACTTAGAAGACATCTGAAATCTTCTAATAGTGAACTACTAGGCCCCTGACTGTCTCTGTGAACTCATCTCCAGGTTTTATCCCAGTCAGTCATTGCCCTGGCCACATAGCCCTGCTTGCTCTTCTTTAGATATGCCAAGCATGTTCTTAACTCTAGACCTTTCTACGTGCTCTTCTCTTTCCTGTGACAGCCTTTCCCCAGGTAACTACCTGGTCTACTCCTTCATTTAGCCTTCTCAGGACTTTCCCAAGCACTGTATAAATTAGCAGGCTTCCCAACTACAAGCTGCCCTCCTCTACCCTGTGGCTCTCTCCTGACATTCTCATCTTCTCCATTCTATGAGCCTTATTCATCGTTTCTCTTACCACACAAACATATTCATGTGGTAGAATATAAACTCTACTAGAGCAGAAATTTCATTTTATTTGCCTCTGTGTTTCCATTGCCTAGAGCAGTAGCAATGCCTGGCATATTAGTTTAACACATATTAGTTAAATATTGAATTAATGTTATAATTCATGAAGTCAAACAAACCCTTGAAGTCCTAACTTTACTTCCCTGTACTACATTTCTTTATCTAATACTCTATCATTAATTATTCACTGATAGAAAATAACAAATTTGGAACTTCATGATGTATTTAAAATAACCTAATTGTAATATTTCTGTTGGGTAATTACTTAAAGATATTTTAGAGTGTTTTAAAAGTAAGGTGAATTTTAATGGGTTTTTGTTACCTTCATCTAGCTATACTTAGAATTGGAGTGAAAACATTATTTATGATAGAATTGCTATGTGGAGAGCTTGAGGAATTCTGGTCATAAAGGCTGCTTTTCCAGCTTAGGTGTATAGTTTTGTGTGGGAATCCTTAAAGGGAAGCACTGACAAAAAGGAATCTATGGGCAAAATGCTTGGAATGAGAGAAAAAAACATTTTCAGCTTTTTATTTTTCACGCTAACATGGTAAACTAAACTAAATCTTTCTTTTGTATCTTTTAGTACTGCTGGCGGTGGACAGGTTTTAACTTCGGCTTTGACCTACTTGTAACTTATACCAATCGGTACATCATTTTCAAACGCAATACACTGAATCAGCCATGTAGTGGATCTGTCAGTTTACAACCTCGAAGGAGCATAGCATTTAGGTAGGATGAGATTTCCCTAGCAACTCCTTCTCACTCCAAAGAAAATATAAGAAATAAAATTTGATAATTTACACCACTAATAGAACTTTGGTAAGATACAGAATATATGAATGATCTATGAACTGATAAGGCTTATTTCTGTGAAATGTATGGTATTATTAATAAAGTCAAGAGATCTAGTTATGTCAGGGAAATGGATAAGCTCAAATATGAATGATAGAACATTGATACTAGGCTTGAAGCTGTTGCCTTGTTGCTATTTTTACCAAATAAAATGTCTTAACTAGAAATATGGCAAGGTATTTTTCAAGGAACACATGTCTAGTATTATTCTTAACTTTGTATAGAATTTGAGATGTCCAGCTTTACCTGATAGTTGAGGTGGCAGTGTTTTTTTGGAGAGGATGCTATAGGCCAGCAAATGAGAAAGTAGTTTATAAACAAATTATTTTAAAATCATATATTAGCCAGGTGTGGTAGTGCCCACCTGTAATCCTAGCATTCAGGAGGCTGAGGCAGGAGGTTCACTGCGAGTTCAAGGCCAGCCTGGGCTACATAGCAAGTTAATGACAACCTGAACTGCCTAGTGAGACCCTGTCTCAAAAAACAAAAATCATATACTTATACTATATGTAAAAATATATAAAATATTAAAAATATATAAAAATTAACTCAAAACTGCAAAACTCCTGGAAGAAAATATAAAGACTTCATAACATTTGATTTGGCAATCATTTCTTTGATATGACACCAAAAGCACAGGCAACAAAAGAAAAATAGATAAATTGGACCTAATAAAACTAGAAATTTTTTATTGAGCAACACTGTCAGCACTGACTGAAAGGCAACCCTGGGATAGGAGAAAATATTTACAAATCATGTGTGATAGGAGTTAAAATATCTAGAATACATAGAAAACTCCTAAAAACCTATAAGTTTTTTTTTTGTTTTTTTTTTTTTGCTTTACTGGGGATCGAACTCAGGACCTTGTGTTTGTGAGGCAGGCAAGGTGCCACTGAGCTAAATCCCCAGCCCAAAAACCTATAATTTTAAATTTAAAAGACAGGTGTGTAGTTTCAGCTGTTTGAGAGGCTGAGAGTCCAAAAGTTTGCAACTAGCCTAAACAACATACCAAGACTTGTCTCAAAAGAAAGGGGGTGAAAAAACAACTGGATTAAAAAATGAGCAAAGGCAATACTAGAGCACTTGGCTAACATACATGAGGCCCTGGGTTCAATCCTCAGCACTACCAAAAAATAAAAATAAAAAGAGCAAAAAGACCTGCATAAAATTTCCCTAAGAAGATATACAAATGGCTAGTGAATACATAAAAAGATACATGATATCACTAATTATTAGGAAATGCAAATCAAAACCACAGTGAGATACCACTTCACACCTATTAAGATGGCTGTTATTCAGAACAAAGCAAGCGTTGGCAAAGATGTGGAATAATTAGAACCCTTGTGCACTGCTGATAACTATGTACAGCAGTGCAACTGCTGTAGAAAACATTATGATCCTTTCCCAAAAAATTAAACATAGCATCAACATACAATCCACCAATTCCTCTCCTGGAAATATATCCAAAAGAATTGAAAGTAGGGACTCGAGGTATTTGTACACTCTTGTTCATAGGAGCATCATTCATAGTAGCCGATCGGCAAAAAAACTATGTCCATTAACAGATAAATAGATAAACAAAATGTGGTAACACATACAGTGGAACATTTTCAGTCCTAAGGAAGGAAACTCCCAACACATGCTACACTTAAATGAACTTAAGTGAAATAAGCATGTCACAAAAGGACAAATATTGTATAATTTCACTTCTGAGGTACATAGAGTAGACAATCCACAGAAAGCCAATTGGGGCTGCTAGGGCTGGGGGAAGGGAAAATGGAGAATTAGTGTGTAGTGAATACAGAATTTCAGCTTGGGAAGATGAAAATATTCTGGAGTTGGGTGATGGTGATGATTGCAGAATTTGTGAATGTATTTTTTTTTTCTGGTACTGGGGATCCAACTCAGGACCTTGCATTTGCAAGGCGGGTGCAGCACCACTGAGCTAAATCCCCAGCCCCTTGTGAATGTATTTGATGCCATAGAACTGTACATAAAAATGATTAAAATGTAAACTTTATGTTCTGTATATTTTAGCATAGTTTTTCAAGGTCATTTATAAATTTTTTTGATATTTCAGTTGTGTATCATAGCACAGGATTATAAATCTGAATGGAATCAATTTACATTTTGAAAAGTCTGTTTGAAAAGAAAATATGGATAAAAAATATTAAAGTGAGTCAGATCTTGTTTAATCTGTGGTTTAAAAATTGTGCTTTTTTTTTTTTTTAAATCCTAGACTTCGTTTGGCTTCTTTTGATAGTAGTGGAAAACTGATATGTAGTAGAACAACTGGCTATCAAATACTTACACTTGAAAAGGATCAGGTATGTTTGATTACTTTTCTGTTGTTTCATTATATTTGTGTTTTGAATACTCTCTGAAAATTAAGTGACTTGACATTTAAATGATGATATTTTGATTTAAAGGTTGATTTGAAAGTACCATGTTCACTTCAGCAAAACTTACCTGATCCCACTGCAGATCTACCATCCTTAATCCAAAAATCTGATATCTGAAATGCTCCAAAATGTGAAACTTTTTGAGTGCCTTAGACAAACAGCCCACATAGTTGTTTCATGCACAAAATTATTTTTTAAACTGTGTAAAAATTGCTTTGGGTATATGTATGTATGTATGTATGTATGTATGTATATAAACAAATTTTGTGTTAAGACTTAGGTTCCAGGCCCAGGGATGTAGCTCAGCTGTGCCACGCCTGCCTGGCAAGCACAAGGTCCTGAGTTTGATCCCTGGCATGGGATGGGGGGGGGAGACTTAGGTTTCATCCCCCAAGATACCTCTTATGTAAATCCACGCACATATATATCTCAAGAATTTCAGATAAATTATACTCTACCCACAGCCTTACTGAGATGGGGGAAAAAATCCCAATTTGATTTCTTATTACATTAAATGCTGATTCGTTGTGTACGTAAGTACATTTACAAGCAGACATCTTGAAGACAATACAATATTTCTCCATAGCTCCTGAATATTAAGAAAACTTTTTTCTCTAGCATATTAGATTTGTAAGGTGACAAACATCTGTAATGTTCTCCAGGTTATTTCTAAAGTCATTTGTTCCTTCATACATCATGTTCATATAAAAGTTTCAAAATGAGGCTGGGGATTTAGCTCAGTGGTTCCACTGCCTGCTGTGCAAGCACAAGGACCCGAGTTCAATCCCTGGTACCAAAAAAAGTTTCAGAATGTTGGGATGAGAAAGTAAACTATTTTCAGTAAATAAGTGTTAAAAA